TAATGTTTTGAACAGCCAACAATAAAAAATTAAAAAAAAAAAAAAAAAAAAAAAAATACCCTTGCTACAATTTTTTTTTATAACTTTTTACATCTACTGTTTTGACCTTTTGCTTCATGAACTCAATCTTCCTATTACTTGAACAAGTCAAGGAGGACTATTCTTTTATTTGAATGATGTTAATGATGCTTAGGGGACAGGAAGCAAATATAATCTCCTGGCATATGTTGTCACAGAAAAGGTGGTATTCGGGGAGCAGGGAGAAAATTCCTCAACCTTCAGCATCTGCTTCATTCTCATTCATTCCTCTAGACCAACACAAAAATTACATCAGATTGTTTCACAGCCCAGAACTTTGTGATCCTAAATTCCCACTTCCCACCAAGGGTGTAGTTCAGCGGCAGAGCATTTACCTAGCATGTGAGAGGCCGAGTTCCATCCCCAGCACCACAAAAACAAACAAGAAACCCCCCCCAAAAAAAAAAAAAAAAAAAATCTTGCTACTTTATTCCTTCCATTTATACAACTTACCAATGCCTTGCCCACTCCTACTCTGACAGCACACTCATCAGACTTCATATTTCTTCCCTTAGCCTTTCTAGATCTCCAGGTGCATCATCTCAACTATTCCCGCCAAGACCATCAACTCCCTTAACAAAAAGTCCTTTAGCTATACCTGCTTGGCAAACTTCCCATGAAGGATCTGGAATTTTACCACCCACCTTCTCTGCTCTTTACTGTCTGTGGGTTAGAGCAGAGAAAATAATGAAACCACAGTGTGAAAGCCTTTCAATATTTATGGTCCCCTACCCCAGGAATGACCTAATTCCCCAAACCCTCTATTCTTACCCTCTCCTACATGACTTGTCCCTCCAAAGGATTTCTTCACAAGTTCATGATATCAGATGTCTTTCTTCAATTTCCCACTGTTATTTCACCTTAGCCATATATGTGAGCACCTAAGCTCTCTTTACTTTAGAGGAAGTGCTGTCCCTCTTCCCAAAGTTCCTATGCCTCAGTATCCTCCCAATATTCTCTCCTATATGTTCAGCCTCTCCTTTGGACTTCAACACATACACATACTAAAATCTCTTCTATCTTGTTCCTTGAAACTTCCTCAACCTTCAGCATCTGCTTCATTCTCATTTATTCCTCTAGACCAATACAAACATGACTTTCACATTCATTTCTCCACTAAATCTGTGTGTGCTACTGAGGATTGAACTCAGGGCCTTGCACTTAGCTAGACAAGTGCTCTACCACTGAGCTACAGCCACATCTCATTCCATTAAAGTTTATCTTGCTAAAGTCACCAATAGTCTAATAACCAAATCCAATAGTCACTTCTCAAGCTCTCAACTTCCCTGTTACTTGATATTGTTGATCATTCCTTTTTTGAAGCTCTTCCTAATTTGCCTCCTTTCTTGGCCATCTATTTTTTATTCTTGTTCACTTGAAATCTTCTTATATCCTTAAATATTATTCATCAGAAATCTGTCCTTCCTTCTCTTCACTTCACATTCTTTCTCTAGACCATCTTATTTAGGCCTAAGGCTGCTTCTACCACTCAACACACTGATGAGCCATTCTCGTCCTTTTCTCTTGCATGGACTTCTGAAATGGCTGGCTAACTGTTCTCCCTGAGTTAAGTCTCAGTGACATTGCCCCCATTCTCCAAATCTATCATATATACTATTGCCAAAGTCATCTAAAGATAGTGGCTTTCAAACCCTAGTACAATTCAAAATCACCTAGAAAGACCACTAGGCTCTACCCAGAATTTCCAACTCAAGTTGATTTAGAGATTGAAATTTTCCATTCCAATCAAATTCAATTGGAGATTGATTACACTTTGAGACCCCTAATTTGAGGACCATTTGGACCTTATGTTATTCCTTAACTTAAAATCTTGCATTAGGTATCTTCTGGCTATAAAACTCACCAGCAGGCTGGGGTTGTGGCTGGGTGGCAGAGCGCTTGCCTCGCATATGTGAAGCACTGGGTTCGATCCTCAGTACCACATGAAAATAAATATATTGTTTCCATGTATAACTTAAAAACATTTTTTAAAAACATTACCAGATTCTGTCTGCCTAAGAATTACTTGCAGTGCTTGTAAAAAGTCAATATTACTGGACTTTACTCTCAAGATTCTGACTTAGCAGATCTGATGCAGTGTCCAGGGAATCTCTTTGAGAATTAGCAGCCTACAAAATAATAACAATTCAGACTCTTTAATGTGGAATTCAAGTCCTTCTGTAATTTATTTTGTGCCTAGCATTACTGAACTAGTTAAATACCTAGTTCTGGCCCACACCTTAGACCTTTGTATATTCTGTGCTCACTGTTTTCACCTCTCTCTTCTTCATCTGTGGTACACTCATTATGCTTTTTCCAAAAAGCATCTGTGTGCCACTTTGAAAGCCCTGCAAATGGCTCTCATCTGCACAAGACAAGGTTGCTCACTCCCTTCTCTGTAGCACCACCATTATCTCATACTTACTTCTACTATGGAACACCCTTGTGTGACAACTGATTAATGCCTGCCTTCTATTAGTTAATAAACTTGGAACACCACTGTGACTAAGAATCAGTATAGTCTGGCACAAAACTGTCCAGTAAATAGAAATGAGGGGGAAAGGCAGCAGTGATGGAGGCAACTAATAGGGACAGGAAAGTGGCTTAGGGAATATAAACAGAATCAGAGCAAAGAGGACATCCAGGAACATTTCTATCATGCTCATTCCTGTGTACTACCCTCCTCTACTCCCAAGACGTTTACCCACCTTAGGCTACAAAGAAAACTGGCCAGCATTTTCTTTCCTATTCTCATACCCCAAATTTACCCAACTGATTATATGCCACACATTTCCTTCCATACATCTTTTAATGTACAAACATATATTTTAAAAAGGCCATTATTTAATTTTCTACCATCACTGAGCAAAAAATAGTGTCCCTTGTCTCACGTGATCTGTATTGTAATAAGATACCTACAAAGAACAGTTGGAATGTGTAAGAGCACACTGAACTGAAGGATTTTTATTCCCCTGATGCTGCCATATCTGGAGGTGAGAGCAAGGTGGATTTTTCAATTCCATTAGCCAAAGCTAATTTACTTCTTCTATCTACTCACTCAGCCAGCCTAGCATGTGGTCCTCTTGGGCTACTCCTTTAGGATTTGAGAAAGACAGATCAAGCCAGAGGGGCAATCATATTAATTTACAAGACTTGTTTACTGTCTCTAACTAGTGTTATCTGGTTAACTTGTAAATGCTAGAACCAAGATGGGGCCTTTTCCATGAGATATATCTGCCCATACCACCCATTTTGCTGTTATGAACTAATTTCATCAAATTGTAAACCAAGAGAAACACATCCTCAAGATCCTAAGGAAAGCACATTGAAATGGCAGCTTTCCTGCCCTTCTTTTCCCGCCCCTTGAATCGCATTTAGGCTGAATCAATTTAAATAGCAAACAACCTAATACAATGGTTTTCTTCTTGTTCTTCCAATGTACGAACATGTTCCTACCTGAGGCCACTGCCCTTACTGCTACTATAACATGAAATTGTCACCGAAACTATGTATTTGTCTTGCTTTGTCCAACATTTGCTCAAAAATCATCTCAAAGATGCTTTCTTATAGTACCATTCCTATCACTTCCTACTTCCTTGCCTGATTGTTTTCTCTTTACTGTACTTATCACTGCTACCAGGAAACATTATACATAAACTTACCACATGATCTACTCCGCATACCCTGTAACCTCTGTGAGGGTAGGGCCTTTGTATTTCTTATTCACTGTTATATCCCAAATGCCAAATAAGAGTGTCTGGTGTTTAACAAATATTTGTTGAATGGTTAAACAGACTCAGACTAAATGCCAAATAATTTTAACTTTAAAAAGCAGACCAAAATGTTTAAGGAAGACATGGTTAGACATAAAAGTTACCTTGGGTAGTTATATAGATAAATTACTCCTTAAATTATTTCCTTTGTTGAAAATCTTTTCAGAACGCTGCAAGCATTGTTTTTAGAGCCAGATTATGAACTCATGATTGATATTTTTACTTTGTCTTATTTTGTATCACAAAAAGCATTAGTGTAAAAAAAAAAAATCAACACAGAAAACACATGCCATGCTATTTTAGGTTTCCAAAACAAGGCCTCAGAAATTTAGATGACTACTGAAAATATCAATGGACTAAGCATATCACCTGCCAAAAATGTGGGAGGTATTAACTTAAAGGGTTAATGCGCACAAACATGAAAGTTCTGCAGTACATTTATTTATTAATTTATTCATTCAATTTTTTTTTTTTTAAATTTTGCAGTGTGGGAGTGAACCCAGGGCCTTACGTATGCTAGACAAGAACTCCACCACTGAGCTACATCCCCAACTTTGGAGTATGAAATTCAAAATATACATTTTGGGTACAGATCAAATTCTCTGAGGACAAAGCAGTAACTCCTTCATAACTCCAAACATCCAAGACTGTTTAGCTGAGGACTTGCCCATTCTTCCAATCACCTGGTAGTTTCAATCTGCCCATACTCTAGAATATATGACATTCACATTTATCATCTCCCTCATGAATATGGACACTCTATAAAATCTAGATTTTAGAAGTATTATTTCAAACAAGTAAAAGGAAAATCTTTGGAAGCAAAAGAAGTGAAAGAACAGGAAAAGTGACAGCAAAACCCTGAGTCTTGGAATAGCTGATTCAAAAATATCTTGAAATATCACAGGTTAGAATAAACCAGTTGAGATCCCATCTCAGAAGGGCAACAAAGAGAACCCCACCCAAGACTTGAACCTACTCTCTTTTGTAGTTATTCTAGTAATATTAACCAACTAAATTTAAAGAAATTGGTGCTAGAAGGCAACTCTACTCATCCCCCTTTCTGTAGTAATTACTGGCCAGCTAAGAACTAAAGATAATGAAAAGGACTGGAAGGAAAGCAGACACACAAAGGTACCATATCACACCAAGTGATACATGAAATTGTTCAAAATGAATGAGTTATTCAAGAGTCATACAAACAAATCAATCTTTTTACTAGAGAGGCATACCTCTCACATGTGTATTATTCAAATGTACTAACACATGAAAGATCACATCACCTTGTTTATGGATACATTTAATATCCCTTACCCTTCCCGACTTTCAAAACATAATAGTATACAAAATATAAAATATCTTAAATATTTATAAAAATCGCAAGAAAAAAATAGAACGTATGAAAATATTTTTATCTGAGTTCTCCCTCGCTGTTGAGAGACAGCTTAGTTTGCCTTAAGTTCATAACTGCTGAGTGGGTAGGAGTATGCCCTGCCTAATACTATTCTGTCCCGAAGGAGCTTAAATAAAACATAGTAGTTGCAGAAGAGGATGAGAGCCATGGAAAGTGTGTGATTCCACTTCTCCGACCGCAGCAAGGAATAGAGCTGGTAGAAGACAACACTGCCCTCAATAAGGATTAGTAGATTTAACAGCCTTAATGGACGATGAAACAGGAACTGTAAGGAAGTTAAAAAACACAATGTTATTTCATAGGAAAGACTCAAGTTATTCTTGAATTCATTTTTCCAAAGTAATTTCGTATTTATGAGTTCTTACACACAATAAAAAATACATCTGTTTGCCCTGGGACATAAAAAGAGGGATATGTATGTCCAAAAGAAAAAGTATATTTATCCAAGACAGGGTGGAATAAAGCAACAAATGGGAAATATTTCACACTTTGAAAATCAATATGTAATGAAGATATTGAGGATGTAATGTAGGATTATAACTGATTAAAATGTAACCATTTAAAAATGTGAAAACTAGGGCTAAGGATGTAGCTTGGTAGTAGAGTGCTTGCCTAGCATGTGTAAGGCCTCCGGGTTCAATCCTCAGTACTATAAGAAATTTTTAAATAAAATAGATAAATAAATATATAAAAGCTATTCTTAGCTTGTGGGATAATCTAAGACCAAATACTCACACTAGACAAGTACCTAGAAAGAGGGAAGTATTATAAGTTCAGGGAAGTATTATAATACCAACACCATAGTTTTTTTTATTTTTCCTTAAACTCTTTACTCACAATGGTCACTTATTGAAATCTTTCATAAAACATATGCTTCTACTATTTATTTTTTCTCAATGAGAAATAGAGTGCAAAAAGACAAAGCAAAGAGGAAGGAAGGAAAAATGAGTTGGAACCAGAATTAAGATTACACATTGGGCTTACTATTTTCACTCTCATCAAATTCTTCACTCTAAGGAGCTAAATCCAGGTTTACTAATAAAAAGGCATTAGGTCACAGGTTGCAAAGGAACATTATCTAACAATTCAGCTCAGCCAGTCAAGTCCTAAATTTAGATGAGGAGAGACTGTATTAATGGTAATTAATTTCAGATGTAAAAGAACTAATTTAGAAGGAAGTTTGATCTCAAGAACTTAAACCTGAGAATGAAGGCCAAACTATCATGACTCCTCTGAAAAGTACATAGTGTCTCAGGGCCCTTCTTCAGGAAAAAGAAAATCTTTAGCTTGGGGTTTACTACATGATACTTTAGTAGTATCATACGTAAAACTGGCTCAATTAATTTTCTAGAAGGATTCAGAAAAACAATTTCAGATTCCATGGCAAGGTGTGTCATTAAACATGCCAGTAACCTACAAACCGAATAAGGAGAAAGGTAGACAGGTTTTAGAGGGTAAAGGCTATTGGTAATAGACACATTTAAAGTGAGTGTTCTTAAACTTCAATCTGCTTAAGAACCATTTCCAAATATGAAAATGCTATAGATTCCTAAGATCCTTTAGAAGACTGGGATACAGGCCCTGAATACTACTTTAAAAGAGTGAGTCAGGTGCCAAGCACAGTGGTACAAGCCTGTGATCCCAGCTACTTGGGAGGCTGAGGCAGGAGGATCACAAGTTTAAGGCCAGCCTGGATAAATTTGTGAGACCCTCTCACGAAATACAATAAAAAAGGGGGTTTGCGGATTAGCTTGGTGATACAGTGTTTGCCTAGCATGCATGAGGCCCTGGATTTTACCTCTAGTATTGGGGGGAAAAGGAGATGGGAACAAGAGTGGCCAAATCATTTATACACAGGGGGCTCAAGAACTGCTTTTAGAAGAACTAACTATTTGGTCAAAATCAGCAATTAATTAACTTGCCTAATCTTTCTTCCATAGATTCTACTTGATTCTTCAGAGTCCAACACTAGCAAGAAAAATACTTATTTTTCAAGCAGAAAATTCTAACAAAAATATTTTGTTGTTACAGTTTTCAAGAGGACAACAAGGATGAACAGAAGCCATTAATGCCCTAGGGAACTCAGCCATTTAAATTAAATAAGTATCCTGTGGAGAAATCAAATACTTATGTAGTTGTGACCTGAGTCTGTTCCCATCTTAAGACAAGCTCATGGAAGTTCAGAAGGAGCCACTGTGGTCTCCTCATCCAAGGGCCTTTAACTTCCCCATGCTCCTCCCAACTAAGAACCTGCCCTCCTTCCCCATCACATATTTACAGATATCCTGCCCTCACCCTCATGCAAGTTCCCAGTATGTAATTGAAAGGTCCCTTAGCAACAAACACCTGCAGAACTAAAAAGTCCATGTATCCTCACAAGTAACTGAGGGAGAAAAGTATAAATTTTTTTTTTTTAAATCTCCAATTCTATTTTAGGATATGATCTCTACTCAAAGGCAATACACTGCACTACGGACATTTTTACTAAGAATAGTCCTGAGCAGGTCTCTTCTTTTCCCTACTCCCACTGGCCACCAGCTGGTCTTTCCTTTAAAAGTAAGTGCTGCTTCCTAGAGTCAGAATTTCTGGAAAACTAAAGACCACATAAAACATAATCCAATGCATAAGTGCAAGTGAGAAAGAAGCAGGGTTCAGTGGATATAGATTGCTTTTTCCTTTTCTAACTTTGAAGCTTTTCTCTTTTGAATCCATGTAAAGATAAAAGGCTATAGATCATAACATTTGTCTGACTTCCAAAGAGGTAAGTTAAGGTATTTTAAAGAGAAGAAAAAATAACACACACAAATATCTGACAAATAAAAAAATTAATAAAAACTACATTATTACTATGTTAAATATTATTTAAAGATACACACAGATACAATATATCTTAAGAACATCACTAAACCCAACTATTACAAAATAAAATTGTAAGATGAAAAAGGAAGTCTTATATAATGGACAACTTATTTGAAGCAAAATTACATTTAATAAATTCCAATGTAACTAGAGAAACCACCCAAGCTATTGAGACTGCAATAATGATATATGACCTCCAAACTGCTTTTCAGAAGACACTTCCATGGGCCCAGGACCATTGTTATAGTAACAGCAAAAATTATCATGCCTCAGTTTCCTAGTATGTGTTACTCACTGTGCTATGTGCATACATACAGAATGGCCTTCTAATATTTACTCCTAAACTTATGCTTAAAAATAAATAAATGGTACTTGCATAAAAACGGGCATGGGATACATCTGAAGGCACTGCCACGTTGTAAGGCCCCATGGCTCTATATAAACATCTGCTATGCCGCACCAGCACCCCTTGAGGCCATATTGTATTTTCTGACCAACTAAAGAAGAAAGAAATGCAATGTTAGCATATTGACAATTACAAATAAGACTGTGTCTAGCAAGGCCAGTTATATTTCTATGAAAGGAATTAAATATTCAAGGCTTCATCTGTCTGAATTCTGAAAATATAGTAATTCCATGGTCCAACTTGAAGGAGTTAGAAAGGATCTGTTATGGTAAACTTCATTGCTATGTAGTACAGAGAGACTGTAAAGTAATACAGTTAACTCAGTGTTGAAGGACTTAAGAGGCTTAGCAGAATGAGCAGATATAATTGTTTCAGTAAGGCATCCATGGGCCAGAAAACAGAATGTAAGCAGGCAGACTTCTGTCTCCATCCCAAGTGAACAGTCTACTGGTTGACATGATAGAGGGAACAAACAAGAGGAGAAAGCCAATGGCAACAAGAACAGAGAAGAAATTAACACACTGTCAAACTAATGTGATATTCACTGCAGAATTACATCCCTAAAACTTACTGAAAATCAGTTTGCTCATCAGATAATTCAAATACCTCAAAGATGTGAGAAGCTATACAGTAGAACAAAGACACACACAAGGTACTGACACAGAGTTTTCTTTTTACTGCTTTCTGGACTCATTTTTATAGAGGTTTCTCTAGGGAAAAGAAGTTAGGGAAGAGAAAGCTTCAATCTTTTCAGCATCAATGTAATGGAGTTGGGATGGGGATGGGGATCTTCAGGTTAAGCTTTATTTAAAAAAACAAAAAAAGAAAAAAAAAAAAACCTAAGTTAATTCATTTCTTCCTGATTTTCGAAAGGTTAGTTTCCTAGATTAAGAACTGGGGCAGCAGTTTAGATATGTTAAAAAATATATTCTAGCACCCTGAAGCTTCCCCAGTTCAGAAAATGTTCCGCCAGCCTTGCTCACACTTACCAGCATTAAAGTGATGATACACCTCATGGCCATGTGCCATCAGTAGCCTGAAGATGTACAGTACTAGTACTGTGGATTGTATTTTCAATTTTTATTGAAATCTGTCCTTTGCCCACAGTCGGGTTTCTTTTCAGCCTGGCCCAATCTCTTTCAGTTCCTGGGCTTGAAGGCCTGTGCTAATCTGTATCAGACATCAAGGCAGATAATTGAAGGGAGAACTCTGAGGGGGAGAGGGGAAGGGAAGGTCACCTCAATCTGTCCCACTTAATTAGGAAAAAACTGGTTGGGGATGAAATTTGTGAAATGTTCAAATTACACAAGGGAGGAAGATGCAGATGGTCCGGGTCTGAGAGATAGGCATGATGATGGACTCAAAAGTGACAGAAAAAAAAGTTCTAAAGTTAGCCACTTTGGATCACAGGGGCCATGCAGAGAAATGTCTGATAAGGGAACACAATAAGAATAATACTTAGAACTCACAGCCAGGGACAGTTTTCACTGAAATACAGGAGAGGCAGGGAAATAGTAGAGAGATTAGGAAGGAAAAAAAAGAAAAAGAAACAGAAAAAATTACAGGCAGGAAAAATTACTAATCCAAATCTGCATGTATTAGAAAAGATGAGAAAAGCAAAGTCCAGCTGTCTTAGGTGTGAGATGAGTAGCTATCAACTTAGCTGTGGCAATGAAAATGAGAAGATAAACCTTAAAAATCTTATAAAAAGAATTTAAAATATATCATGACTCTTTGAATTTGGGCAAACAGTTAAGACTGAAAGACAACTCTGAAGTACTGCTTGGGGCACAAATTATACACTCTAGAGTGACTGGGCAGCTGAAAGGTAGGACGCATTTGAGAAGAGGCTGGGTATGGTGGTAGAAATGAGTTAATGTATCCTGTATTCAGTTTAGCAATGATGACAAGCATCCATGTAGACAAAAACTAAAAAATGTTCAAAGCCAAGAACAGAATGACATACAAAGCAAATAAACATGATCAGCAGCATGTAGAAACGTGTTACATGGTTTTACCCTCTAGCTACTCACATGTGCTGTGGAGCATTGCTGTAGGACCCATGTTCTAGCTTCTGCCATTTGCCGAGGTGAGCAGCTGATTTATGTAGCAAATCACAGTATTTTGATGGCAGCAACTGTGTGGTAAGCATGACAAAAGCATTGATCCACACCATAATGAGGTGTTCACATGACCAGCGCATGTCATAGTACTGGGTACTCTGAAAGAGATCAAAAGAGACAGAAATGATCCATGCACCAGCATCAGACACAGGATGGGTACGTATATATATGCCCTGCAGACAAATGCCACACTTAGTCAACATGCACTGGTTGTCCTGATGTCCGTGCAGAAAGTTCAAGAGCAGAGTCCTCCAAAATCCTTCAACCTGACTTTCTGGCTGTATGAATTAGGGCTGGGAGGGAGAGGCAATTATATTTTAAGGACTGAGTGCTTCTGAAGGACCACACCGGCTGCAGAAGTGCTTCTGAATGGGTGAAGGAAGGACATTAAAATGTCCCAAAAGATTTTGGTCCCAAGTGACATCCAGACCATTTTTCTTTTCCACTGAAGTAAATTGAAGTTTAGATAAATAAAGGTTAGATTAAATTCAAGAAATTCCTCATAACCCTGTTAGATCAATCACAGTAACCTGGATTTTATTGAATCCTTGGTTCTCTTAAGCTGCTACATATTTTTTCCTATAATAATTATAATTTTTACTCTCCCCGGAAACTAAAAAGAAAATAAGAAAAAAATTGGAAAGAAAAGAAAAAAAAAAAGAGGGGACCACCACGGGGTGCATCACATATATGGAAATACCTATCCGCCAACCAGGAGCGGTTTTAGTGCACTCCAGATGCAGCCGAACTCCACCATCCAGGCTGCCAAAGGGGAGACAGAGAAAAGGGGGATTAAACAAGAAATACCCAGTTTATTTAATTCACACACAATCCAGGGAGCACACAAAGCAAAATATCTGCTTACCTTCACAAAACACAGAGGGAGAAAGGCAACATAGTAGGCACTGAAGAGGGAGTTGAAGAGAACTTCTTTGATTCTGTGGTTGAAATCGGCTTTCAGACATTCTACCTCATTTCGAATGAGGTCTGGAGATAGAGGGCAGCTGTGGGTGGGGATGGGTGTGGCATTATTAAACTGTTCTTTTAAAGACTCCAGCAATAAGGAGAGGAAGTCTTTGGATTTGGCCAAGCCACCCACAGTTGAGGCGCTTTCCTCTACTGCCTGATGCTGTACCACATAGTTATAGTCTGTGAGAAGAAGATGAGCTCTACTATCTTGGTGGAAACAACAGAGAGGAACATAAACACCAAACCTGCAAGACAAGGTAAATATGAAAATAATACCACAGAAAACACCTAAGAACACTGTATAATTATGTCAATATAATAGTCTTGATGCACCGGAGTAAATATAATAGGAACTTTCCAAGGGTAAATTCCTTGTCTGAGAAGGAAAGTCTTTCATTTCTTACAACAAAAGCAGTACATATTCATTGCAGAAGAGGAAACTAAAAAAATTTCAATAACAAAATATAAACTACCTAGAAATAATCATTTTTATTAGTCGGTACACATTTATCCAACATATAAACTTTATATATAGTCATGTATGCTTTTTTCTTTTATGTATTTGATCTCATATAGTACAAACTGTTTTGCATCTTGCTATTTCACCTTGTGTGTATACAATGGGTATTTTCTTATGTCTAAATATTTTTCTGTAAGAACTTTTAAAAACATTATAGGATTCATATATTGACATACATAATTTATCCATTTCTCACTTGATAGAAACATGCTGTTTCTGTGGGTTTCACATGACATTTTTTATGGGGATCAAACCCAAGGCCTTGCACATGCTAGATAAGTATTATATCACTAAGCTACATCTCAGCCCAGAAAAAAAAAGTTGTTTCTTATTTTCCACTAGCATAAATAACATGACAAGTATTCTCCTAATGTGGATCTTTGTGTATGTTTAGAAATTTTTGATATGGCTTGCCCTTCAACTTAAATGTCTCCATAGTAAGGGGCTCTCCTGCTTGCAAACTTTGTATCACTCACCCCACTCCCAAAAGCACTCTCCTTTTGTAGTTATTTTTCTCCACAGATTTTACCACTCTATACATGTTTATTAGGTTTTTTATTCTGGGGTGGTTATTTTTTCTTGTTCTATCTTCCATTATTATTATTATTATTATTATTATTATTATTATTATTATTATTATTTTGGTATTAAGAATTTTACTCAGGGGTGTTTTACCACGGAGCAACATCGCCAGCTCTATTTTTTGAGATAGGATCTTGCTAAGGTATGTATGCTGGCCCAGAACTTGTGATCCTTCTGCCTCAGCCTTCCAAGTCAATGAGAATACAAGTGTGCACCACTGTGCCTGGACCCTCATTACAATTTAAACTATAAATGCTGGGCACAGTGAGGCATGCCTGTAATCCCAGAAACTTGGGAGGCTGAGGTAGGAGGATTCCAAGTTCAAAGCAGTCTCAGCAACTTAATGACACCCTATCTCAAAGTAAAAAATAAAAAGGTCTAGGGATGTGGTTCAGTGGTTAAGTATCCCTGGGTTCAATCCCCAGTACCAAATAATAATAATAATAATAATAATAATAATTATATTATTATTATTATTTATTTCTTTATATACTTAAATTGAAAAAGACTGCTAGCCATTTTGATGATGGTAATCCTATTAAACTTAACATCTTACTTGGTAAATAGAGCTCAATTAAAATATTCTCACTGGGTGTGGTAGTGTCCACCTATAATCCTACTACTCAGGAGGATGAGGCAGTCCAATCCCAAATTCAAGGCCAACGTGGGCAATTTAGCAAGACCTTGTCTCAAAATTTCAAAAGGACATGGTATGTAACTCTGCAGAGTGCTTGGCAAGCATGCATGAGGCCCTGAGTCCATCCCCAGTACTATAAAATAAATACTTTCCACTAGATGACACAAATGTACACACTTATAGCACACCTGTAATCTCAAGGACTCGGGAGTCTAAGAGGATCACAAATTCAAGGTCAGCCTAGGCAACTTAGTGAGGCACTGTAAATTTTAATTTTTTTAAAATATTTATTTCTTAGTTGTACACAATACCTTTATTTTGTTTATTTTTATGTGGTGCTGAGGATCGAACCCAGGGCCGCACACGTGCTAGGTGAGCGCTCTAACACTGAGCCATAACCCCAGCCCCTGTAAATTTAAAATTAAAAAAGGGCCAGATATGTATCTTGGTGGTAAAGCACTATTGGTTTCAATCCCCAGTATCGCAACCTCTCCACTGGTAGGACAGCCATACTTCTCAGTTTCCCCAGGATAGTTCTAGTTTATGTCTGTTGTCTCAACTAACCTAGTTTAGAAAACAAATTATATGGCTATCATATCCACTGGTTTTCAAATTTTTTTAACTTTTAATTTATATTTGAAGAATTTAATTCTCCCTTTTTTTATAGTATTATTTGCATGACCCAAATAACTACTAAAGATTTGTTAATTGCAAAACAGGAGTACTCACGGATAGCCAAGGAAGAGGAGATTAAGTACTGAATGGCTTCGAAAGAGATTGACTAGGGTCCAACAAAGTACCCATCCACACAAAGTGAGAAGCACCAAGCGAGCTGATATCAGAACCATGTAGTGAATCATAGATGCTGCACCCGCCTTGGTGGCCTGAAAGTTTAGAAGCATCAAAGGTAAATTTTATAAATTATCTTATTTAAAAGCAATGTAACATAAATAAGGGTAGTAGGTTTAAATGGAAGCTAAACTGTATCAAAAAAAAGAAAGAAAAGAAAAAGAAAACTGTTTCATCCCACCTTATCTTCCTAATTCTCGAAAATTCAACCCTCTCCAGGCAATTAGTCATCTCCTCCTTATACCCACACAGACCTGCTTTAACTTTTCATCATTATCATCTAATTTGTTTTCACTAGGGTTTCTCATCAAAGTATGGTCCATGGACCAGTCATCAGAATCACTTGAGTTGCTTATGAACATGTAAGTTCCTAACAACTTTTCTCTTTGAATGTAGGGAAAAAAAATTTGAGTCAAGGATTCTATATTTTCACAATCTCTTAGGTGATTTGTATGTATATACAGATGGAGAGCCAATAATTTATCTACCTTACTTCCTACCAGAATGCCAAGGGCCTCAATAGCAGCAAGAGTACTTCTATTTTTCTTTGAATTCTTACCTCTAATCTGCTTGCTGAGTTGATGTTTAAAATATTACAAAAATTTTACAAAATAATCACATCTTCTTTGACAGACCTCTATATGTTTAACTTTTGCACATACAAAAATAATGTGTAGGGCTGGGGTTGTAGCTCAGTGGTAAAGTGCTTGCCTCGCATGTGTGAGGCCCTGGGTTCGATCCTCAGCACCACATGAAAATAAATAAATAAAAATAAAATATTGTGTCCATCTATAACTAAAAAAATTAAAATAATAAACAATGTATAAATACTTCTAATTCTTTATATCATATCTCAAATATTCTTCTTAAATCCTAAATCTTTAAAACTGACCAAATATAGTAAGAAAATATATTTGTCAAAACATAAAACTTACAAATTAGAATAAAAATATTGAAAAAAAAAAAAAAAAACCACCATAAAACTTGTGGTCCCATAAAATTATAGGGAGAGCCTGTTGCACAGCACATGCCTGTAATCCCAGCTACTCAGAAGGCTGAGGCAGGAGGATCATTCAAGCCCAGGAGTCAGAGGCCAGCCTGGACAACATAAGTAACACCACATCTCAAAACCAAATAATAACAATAATTAAATAAAGCTGGAAATTCTTCTTGCCTAGTGACATCACAGCTGCCATAACATCAAAGCACATACTATTACTGATGTGTTTGTGATAATGCTGGTGTAAACAAACCTACTGTATTTCCAGTCCTATATAGTAAGTACATAATACTTGATAATGAAACAAACAACTATAGTTGCCTATTACTATTACTTGTTTATGTACTTACTATATTTTTACTACACTGTTTAAAAGTATGCTCCTACTCATTAAAAAAAAAAAAGTTTACTATAAAAACACCATACTGTGTAACTCTGGCAGCAAATTTACACAGCTTGCATTTACCACAGCTCTTGATTGCATCAAGAGACCACAAGGAATGATTAAGGTATGATATCCAGGTTTGTGTCAATATGCTCTATGATGTTTGCACAATGAAGATATCACCTAGTGATGTCTTTCTTGTCTCTATAGTTAGGTGACACATGACTGTGTGTGTGTGAGGGGGATAATACAAACTATAGAGATACATAGTATATATGGGTACTTTAAAATGTGAAGCAGTTAAACAAATACCATAATAAACTGCTTAAGCCTCAAACTATGAAAAAGACCCAAGCTGTTCTCAGTCATAGCATGGCAAATAGTTCTATATCACTCCCCTTATAGGTACCTCATACCAATGTACCTTGTATTTTAAAGTCTAAGGAAGTTACGTAAGCCCTGGAGTTATTCTATTACTTCTATTCTCAAAAGTACAAGGTTAGAAATAAAAGACTGTTTCTGCTCCATGCCAGCAGAGCAGCAGAGTTTGATTTTCTTATTCTAGAACCTACATTCTTTAACTACTCACTGTGCTATATGTGACAGACCTTGGTGATACAGTGGTAATCAAGACAAATAAGAACTTATCTTTATGAAGCTACCCAGCCAAGAAAAACACATACTAAACTTAAATTTAGACAATTATTTTTATAATGTGATGAGTGTTACAGGAAAAGCATAAGTTATCATGAGAATAAGTAATAGGAGACCCTACTTGGGAAGGCTTTCTATAGAAAGCAATATTTGTGTTGAAACCTAAAAGACAAATAAGAGCTAGTCAGGTTAGAAAACTATTCATAATACTATAATAAATACATTTAAATATATATGTACATAAATCTTTAATATATATACATTAGAAGGAAATAAAACCAAAAATGTGATTCTCAGTAATGAGGTTGTAATTTTCAATTTTCTGCTTTACATTCTAGTGTCTAACAATCTCAATCTTTTCAATAAAATATATTGTTTTTGTATTAGAAAAATAATGTTTTGCCAGGTGTGCTAGGGAACACTTGTATTCCCATCAACTCAGGAGGCTAAGGTAGAAGGTTCTTCAGTTCAAGGCCAGCCTCAGCAACTTACCCTATCTCACAAGAAAAAAGAAAAAAGGACTGGGAATGTAGCTGGGGTAAAGCACCCCTGTACCAAACAAATAAAAATAAAATAAAATAAAAACTTTTTTTTTTAAGAGAGTTGCCTCAAGTTGGTAAAACAGTTGGATTTATTTTTAGTCTTGTGTAGAAAGTACACAGAAGCAGTGTTGGCTAGGAGGTGAATAAACAAAAGGCTAGCTAGGCAGAGAGGTGGTTGTCCAGCTGAATTCTCCAGCTGAATATTTATCTTTCAAATTAATTACCTCCAGTTCTCCTTAAAAAATGGTCTTTCTCAATCAGGCTTGGTGGCACATGCCTATAATAATATTCCAGCAGCTTCAGAGGCTAAGAAAGGAAAATTGTGAGTTCAAAGCCAGCCTCAGCAATTGCAAGGCACTAAGCAACAAAGTGAGACTCTGTCTCTAAATAAACTACAAAATAGGGGTGGGATGTGGCTCAGTGGTCAAGTGCCCCTAAGTTCAATCCCTGGTACCCTCCCCCCAAAAAAGGTCTTTCTCAGGGTCACGATCTTTTCTGTGATAAAAGAATGCAAACATATTTTAATGGAAGGGAAAAAAAAAAGATTATGATGGGTTTAATCATTTAATTTAGATATATTAGGAAAGAATCACTATATAGCTGATTTTAAATTTTCAAATAGATAATATAACCACATCACTCAAAAGACAAATCCTAGAGTGCTAGTAGTGATTCATGCTGCTCCTGTCTCCCAGCCACCAGCAGTCCATTATTACTCCATATCTCTTTCCAGGGACAAGTTATTTGTATATAAACAAATACATTTTGCTCCCTCTATCTGCCTTTTTATGGAGTGGGGCGGGGTGGGGGGGAGTACTGGGGATTGAACCCAGGGACACTTTACCATTAAGCTACATACCCAGTTCTTATTTTTTAATTTGAGACAGGATCTCGCTAAGTTACTGAGAGTACCACTAAGTTGCTGAAGCTAGCAAAATTTATCTTTCTGCCTCAGCCTCCTGAGCTGCTGGGATTAAAGGTGTACACCACCACACCCAGCAAACAAAATTCTTTTTAAACAGTGTTTAAAATAAAGTAGGGGCTGGGGATGTGGCTCAAGCGGTAGCTCGCTTGCCTGGCATGCGTGCGGCCAGGGTTCGATCCTCAGCACCACATACAAACAAAGATGTTGTGTCCGCCGATAACTAAAAAATAAATATTAAAAAATGTTCTCTCTCTCTCACTCTCTCTTTAAAAAAAAAATAAAATAAATTAAATAAAATAAAGTAGGAAGCTAGGTGCAGTGATGCACACCTGTAATTCCTGCAATTTGGGAGGCTGAATCAAGAAGTTCACAGTTTGAGACCAGCTCGAGTGACTTGATGAAACCTTATCTCAAAATAGAATAAAAAAGGCCGGGGATGTAGCTCAATGGTAGAGTACCTGCCTAGCATGCACTAGGCCCTGGGTTCAATCCTCAGTACCATACACACACTCAAAGGCAATAAAATGCTTCAAGTTATAGACTTTGTAGCAACAAGGTAGAAACTATAGTTATGAAGGGTTTATACATTAACATGAAGCAACTAAACTGACATATGCCAATATCATTTCTAAGCAACTGAAGAGATGAAACATAATAATTTCCTGCCTGTTTTAACACATGTAAACAAAAAATCCATTCTATTCTTCTAAAGAAAGTTCTTTCTCAATATATCCAAAAGTAAGTACCTGTTTTCATCACCTAAATACTGAACCTGAGAGAAAGGCTGAGTTACATCCTTTCCTACCAGGAGAAACAGTTCTACTACCAATACTACCACTATTTTCCAGTTATTTTAATGGCTTTTAGATCATGACTTAACATCTTTAATTAATCTGTAATCACAGGAATCAGAGCTTATACTCACAAAGTCTTCTGCTTCTGTGTATGTTTTGGAAGAAAAAGTAAACTCTCGATTTTCATTACAGTAACTACTCATTTAAAAATTTCAAACTGAAATATAATTTCCAAGATTCAAATTATTAGCCACTTTAGCTAAGTTAACATTTTTGTTTTCATAAACACTTATAGGGTACAATATATAAAATCTTATGCAAGTACATTTTTCTCTCTCGCTGGAGTTTATATGAAAAATGATACCCAAAGCCAAATCTACCAGCAACTTTTAAATTAATAAAATAATTTAATGTTCCAAATCTTTCCTCCTCTGTCCAGTAAACTTATATTCTAATCTTGTGATTACTCCTAGGCAAATTTTAACATTGCCTTTTAAAAATTCTAACTTTTAATAAATTTAAATTCTAAGTTTTAATAAATACAAACCAATCAACCTGGGGCACTTTCACTGAGCCACATCCCCAGCCCATTTTATTTTTTATTTTCAGGCAGGACCTCACCAAATTGCTTAGGGCTTCACTAAGTTGTTGAGGCTGGTCTCAAACTTGTGATCATCCTGCCTCAGCCTCCCAAGTTGCTGGGATTACAGGTGTGCACCACCTCACGGCTACAAATGTTTTTTGTTAGGAAATTTCACAAGTGGCATATAAACCATTTCAAGTGAATGTTATCTAAAATTGAATTTATCCTATTTCCCTAGAACTATTAAAATTTAAAAAAATTGTGCCCCAAAATCCAGAAGCTTAAATTAAACTCCTTCAAATTCAATATCTAATAGGTCTTGAGTTATTGCACATTTGAATTTTAAATATATTGCAGGAAACCATTTTTTTTTAAAGTATTGGCACAACTCACATAGGAATAAAGAAATTAATTTAAAGTTGTTTTCAAATTATATTGGACATTTTACATTTTCAGTCTGAACCCTTTCTAGTAACTACAAGTTACAACAAGTAGTAGAACACAGTGAATAAACTTACTTCGGAGATGAGGGCCCACACAAGCCTCCTTGCGAGCATCACCGTGATGAACGCTGCCAGGTGATAATCAATGAGATGAAAATTCTATAAAAGAAACAAAGAATGTCATCAAAAAGAAATACAATGTTTATCAAACTGAACTACTACACAAACAGAGGTTTGCTCCCTCAAAAGATCTTCCTTAGTTCATCCTACCCTTACAGAACACAGAAATTTGAGAGATCATGAAGAGACTGCCTACCTTGTACTTCTCCTTTTGTGACTAATTGCTTAAACTTTCCAAACACTGTTTTAGACTATCTGGAAAGTATTACTATCCTTTTTTTTTTTTGAAACTCTACTATATTAAAAGAAAAAGATAGCTTTGAGTTAACAATAATTATGACAATAATAATTCATCTAAACTGACTGATTTATTATGTGTCAAATTAAATCAGTCAGGATTCATAGTTTTTAGGAGTTACTGTGGTTGTTTCTTTATTCAAACTTATGTTAGTCTAACTGTGCATCAACTAAACTACTAGTTAGTACATCAATTATATTTATTTAATCTTTATAATTATTTAAAAATATGCCTTACATTTGATCTCTTCTATAAAATTAAACCATTACTTAGATGTCATATATAGTTCCTTTGTTATGCATACGTGCGTGTATACATATATACATATATACATATATATACACATATAAATATATGTATACACATACATATATATAAAACTGTGATAACAGCAAACAAAATCGTTAGTAATAATCTTAGAAACCAATGAAATCGAGATATATTTTCCTCTTGATGGTCAAAGGGTTTGCAGGTTTCTACATTTTCTTCCCAAATGAAAAACTGAATTTTTCAATTAATTAATTCAATAAACTAAATATGCCAGGTACTCTTCTTTTTTGGGGGTGGGGGTACCAGGGATTGAACTCAGGGGCACTTGGCCACTGAGCCACATACCCAGCCCTATTTTGTATTGTATTTAGAGACAGGGTCTCACTAACTTGCTTAGTGCCTTGCTTTTGCTGAGGGTGGCTTTGAACTCGTGATCCTCCTGTCTCAGCCTCCCCAGTTGCTGATATTACAGGCGTGTCCAGCCAGGTATTAGTCTCAACACTAAGGGTAAAGTGCTGAAAACAAAAATCAAGGTTTTTTTCTCTTGGCAATGGAAATGGTAGAGATTATTACTTGTTTCTTCTACCATCATAGTAGAATTTAACAAGGCACTGCCTCCTTGCTAACTAAGGGTTCCTTGCCCAAACTCCCTTGCAAAAAACTACTTCTAGTCAAGGATGGATGAAGTATATAGTTTCTATACTCAATAAACTTACAATCCAGGTAGGGGGAAAAATACATACATACATACATATACATATACATATATATATATATATATATATATATGTAAATAAAAATAAATCTGGCACTAACTCATTACAATTCTTAAAGAAACAGAGACTCTCATCACATATTAAGTATATATGTGATCAATACTTAATATCACTTGGTTGTTCCTGAAATTAACTTAACACTTTTCTTTTTAAAGTACATTTAAAAAAACCCTACAACATATTTTTACATATTTTTATGTATTTCAGCAGAAAGAAAAGTCTTAATAGCTAATCCTAGGAACAATCAAGTGATACAAATATTTAAAATACATTTTTTTATTCCCTTCTCATACTTTTTTCCCCCAGTACTGGGTATTGAACTCAGGAGTGCTCTACTACAACTACATCTCCAGCCCTTTTTATTTCTTATTTTAAGACAGTTGCTGAGGCTGGCCTTGAATTTACAATCCTTCTGCCTTGGTCTCCTGAGTTGCCAGAATTACAGGAATGCACCACCATGCCCAACTCCTTTCTCATATTATCTTGAAGATTTGGGACCACATTTCCTTTTCTATGTCTACCACATTAGAAAGGTTTTCAGATTTTTTGTGAGTCCCAAACACACATACAAAATGTTCAGAACAAAAGTACTCTTTGCCCCAAAGAATATCTCTGTCACCCATCCAAATCTGCCATTGCCAATCACATACATGTAAGTCATCTGACTAGCCTTTTAGATATTTTATATGCTCATCTATGGAGAACCTTCTTTGTATCAAGATTATCAGGGCCAGGGCTGAGGTAGTGGCTCAGTGGTAGAGCATTCGCCTAGCACATGCGAGGTCCTGGGTTCAATCCTCAGCACCACATTAAAAAATAAATAAGTAAAATAAAGTTATAGAAAAATTGATTTAAAATGTTTTTTTAAAAAAATTACCAGGGCTCTCCTAAATAAATGAAGAGGAAACCAGAAGAAACCTACAACATGTTTTTTAAGTTCTTCAGAAATAGCTAGTTTCCATCTCAATTCTATTTTGTAAAAGAATTCAATTTCAGTCAGGTTAACAATGCACCCAGTTAAAGTACAATATTTTCTAGCTTCTCTTATAGTTATGAGTGGACATGTGGAAATGATGGGAGCCTGGACTGTAAGAAACTCTCCTTTATAAATACCCTATGCTCTTTTACCTTTATGGCTGATAGCAATGAACCACAGCCACCTTAAAGGCCACTTGTTAGAAAATAGCAGTCTTTACCACCCTAGGTCCCCTGACTGACCACATGGAAGAATTCCTACCAACCAGGACAACTGTCTCAGACTGTTATATGTTAAAAACATTATACAATTTTTGGCTTATTTGTTATAGAAGCTACCATTATCGTAATTCAGTCATTTAAAAGGTAAAGCTGCTAGAATTTAATCATAATGATAAGTTAACATTACATGTTACACTTTCTCTATCCCATGTTAAACAAATTTAACTTCTAGCCAAGGACGGATAAAGTATATAGTTCAAATTTAACATGGGATAGAGAAAGTTAGATATGGAAACCTTTCTGCAATATTATTACAATAAATTATTTAAATGTTTTCTGCATTTTAATTTATACTTCAATAATCTTATCATGAATTTTTATTTCTAAAAAGTAATCTGATGTTTATTAGAAAACCAGTTTTTAGAAGAAAAATTAATAAAAAAATTTACCTGAGTGACATAAAAAATTTAGAGGCCTATGACGACTTACCAGTGAAGTACAAGAGGCAGGATGATTGTAAGGATACCACCACACGGTTTTATAGATGTTGATGTACTGAATGAACAGAGCAACCAAAAGGTAGATGAAGAAAAGAAATTCAAAAAGCAGGCTCCCATCCACAGGCAAGTCAGGAATTTGGCAATGACGCACAGGACCTGGGGTGATTAAGGCTGTGATAGGTGGAACTGGAAGGCCAATAGTGCTACCATTCCTGAAAGAGAAAACTATGGTAAACTCAAATGGTGATATCCTTCATGTCAGAGCAAAGAGCCCCTTCTATCTCCACTACCTAACCTTAACTGTTGGCCTCTCCAAGACTCTATTCTGGGATCCTTCCTCTACATATTGTCTCAATGATCTAAGATGCAACCATGATTTTCATCATCTTAGGCATACTGAAAAATAAAATTTATCTTTATATCACAGCAGAGTTTTAGACCCCTATTAGCAACTGCCTGCTAGATATCTGTGTTCCTCCCCCAACAGTCCTAACCCTAGTTTGTGGCCCACCCTGTTAGCTGCCCAAATCAGGATCCTAGAACATTTCTTCTTCCACTCCATATCCAATCACTTTCTAAAGAACTGGATTCAACTCAGGTGTAGTGGCATATGCCTAAAATCCCAGTTACTCAGGAGTCTAAGGCAGGATGATTGCAAGTTCAAAGCCACGCTCAGCAATTTAGAGAGGCACTTAGCAACTCAGTGACACCCTGCCTCTAAATAAAATATAAAAAAGGGTTGGGGATGTGGTTCAGTTGTTAAGGCTCTTGGGTTCAATCCCTGGTATGAAAAACAAAACAAACAAAAACTGGGAATGTAGCTCAGTGGTAAACTACCTTTGAGTTCAATCCTCACTACTGCAAAAAGAAAAATAAAGAATTGAATCCTATTTCACAAAATTTTCTTCAATTGTATCCTCCCTTCTCAATCCACTGTTTCAGTTCAAGCATTCACCAATTTTCATCTAAATTACTGGCAGTAATCCTCCTAAATTCAACTCTACTTTCACCAAACCCACCAAGCTGCCCTTAGGGATCTTTCTAAAGTGAAACTGGTAGTGTTACTGTCTTATTCTTACTGTTTTTGTTTGTTTTTTGTTGTTGTGCTGGGGATTAAACTCAGAGCCTCAGTGGCAGAGTGCCCGCCTGGCATAATAGTGTTACTCTCCTCCGCTCTTTACTGCAATTAGGATAATATCAAAAAACTTTGAGTATGTTCTATGAAGCCCTCTGTTTAACATAGTAGCCTCCTCACATATCACTCCTCCACATGCAACTACGATACTCATGCTACGTGCTGTCTGAAACATATGTTCTATTTTACTGTGCACTTTATTCCCTTGAAATGAAATATCCCCCGTAATTACACTTTCCTTAACTTCTCACACACACATTTACTGAAAAATTCCCTCCAAACCTTTTTTCACTCATTCTTCAAAACTTTTAAGGGATTTGGGGTTCAGCTTAGTGGTAGAATGCTTGCATGTATGAGGCTCTGGGTTCAATTCCCAATACCATGAGCACACACACAAAAATAAATAAATAAATGGCTCTTCAGCTCTTCAAACACACCCTCTGTGAAGCTTACTCCGACTCCCTCAAACTTATTCATCTCTCCTTTGTGCCACTATCATATATGTGTAAAGTCTTTATTATTGCGCTTTTCATACTATAACATAATTTTTGTACACATCTATAACTTGGCTATCAGACCATAAACCTAAGGCCAGAAACTACTTTTCTTAGTTCACTGCAAATATATACTTTTAGGTTGAGACAGCAAAAGACCAATGCACTCATGAAAAACAGACAACTCTTAACACAAAAACAAACATATAGAAGTATTAATCCCTGTTTTGTTCTTTCTTCTAGGCTCACTTATAGGTCAGAAACAGCTAGACTATTTGGAGTGACAGATAGGAATAAAGAATAAACTTTCTGTTGTTTATATGCACAGGATAGTTACAGAGATCTAAGGTCTACTATTGTTTATACAACAAGGAAAGGAGACTCAATTCCCAGTGACTCAGGAAGCTGAGATAAGATTGTAAGTTTAAAGTCAGTCTCAACAACTGAGACCCTGTCTCAAAAGAAAAAAATCAAAAGGACTTGGGATGCAGCTCAATAGAAAAGTGCCCCTAAGTTCAATCTCCAGTAAACCCCACTCTAAAAAAACATATTTAAGATAAGGAACAATAGTAGCATTACTTTCTTCTCTAAAATTTCCAAATATAGAATTCTAGCATGGATATGTGGGACTTATAGTATTTAAAGCAACTCATGGGAATATGAGCTCTGCTCATTCTGAATAGTTAAGAATACTATGACTTGAATGCACAGGATTAATGCCAGCAGCCAATCTACTGCCTCACTCCAGTTAACTGTAAGATACTGAAATAAAAATTTCTGATGAGATGTTACAATGTTAAAAGCCTCTAATCTAAACAAACTAAAAATCTTATTGAACTTCAGTCAAAAATAAGGAAAGAGGGAAAGCATGATAAACTGTCATAATTTTTGAACTCAGGGCTTCGCATATGATAGGCAAGCTCTGCCGCTGAGCAACACTCCAGCCCACTTTAAAATTTTGAGACAGGGTCTCTTTAAGTTGCCCAGGTTGGCCTCAAACTTGTGATCCTCCTGCCTCAGCCTCCTAAGTAGCTGGGATTATAGGCATACGCCAGCATACCTGGCTCTGTTATGATTTAAGAGTTAAAAAAAGATTATAAAAATGTTTCCACGTAAAGGAGACTTGCTTTCTGGAACATACATGCTTCTGCCATTAACAAACTCAACAAAATACTGGAATTCAAAAAATATATTCAAAACAAAAGTACAAAAGTTCTACACTTGTAATACACCCTATAAATTTGGCTATTAAACTTGAAGCCAGAAGACCAAACAGACATAGGTCAAACAAAGTGATTCAAAGCACCAGTTGGAAAAAAAGAAATCATGTCTAAGATAACTGATGAGATTAAGTGTTCTCCATCTAACCGATAAACTTCAAAGCTGGAGAGGGAAAATATCAAAGTTCTTTAAATCTAAAAAAACAAATAAGTGAATAAATACACAATGCCTACATGTATTAAAATATCATACTATATTCCATTTAGGTATAATTACTGAGTCAATAAAAAATTAAACTTTAAAAATAAAACAGAGTTGGCCAATATATATCTCAAAAAAATAGTTACAGAGGTATTATTTAGAAAAAATATTATTTTTCTAACGTTATAAAAATAGATTCAAGAATCTATTCAGGATGCACTTAATTCAAACAGCAACAAGTTGTGACAACACATTTGAAATGTTGTCCACCAGGAAAGCCCATTAGAAGGTTTTTATTGTGAAGGCTGATTACATAGGCATCCTTTCCTACCAATACCAAAATTCTAGACTCCCCAAAGAAGGAAGGTATTCAGTATAACTTTCCTTAAAAAGCCCTGCTTACAAGGCTTGCATCTGGGAACTGAATGGTAAACAGTTCCTTTCATTGATACAAAATTTTCCTTATAATAAGAACAGGTCAGCAGGGCATGGTGGTGCACACCTATAATCCCAGAAGCTCAGGAGGCTTAGGCGGGAGGATCTCAAGTTCAAAGCCAACTGCAGCAATAGCAAGGTGCTAAGCAACACAGTGAGACTCTGTTTTTAAATAAAATACAAAATAGGGCTGGGGATGTTACTCAGTAGTAGAGTGCCCCTAGTTCAATTTCCAGTACTCGCCACCCAAAAAAAAGAATGGGTCACTGTGGTTGAACTATATAAAAAATGGTGGTTTATGCTGAACATCTGCTTTATCCTTGCAGCAGGCTTTAGACTGGCCCTTATGGAGTCATGAGCAGCACAATTTAAGTATGCAAATGGATAAAGCAAGAAAGATTCAAAGATTTACTCGGGTGATAGCTCAGTTGGTAGAGTACTTGCCTAACACATTTGAGACACTGGGTTCGATCATCAGCACCACATAAAAATAAAATAAAGGTATTATGTTCAACTACTATAAAAATATTTTTTTAAAAAGATTCAAAGGGATAAAGAGAAATTAGAAGAGACAGAAAACAGTGGTATTTGGACATGTTTGGTGATATTATCAGAAAATATGCGCAAGGACTAAACAAACAAACAAAACTTCAAACAAGTAAAAATCTCCCTGTAGGAACTCTCTATGAAACTCACAAACACAGTACTTTTTTTTTTTTAAGCTTTGGGGAGTGAAACCAGGGGCACTCTATAACTGAGCTATTATCACCAGCACTTGTTATTTTAATTTGAGACAGGGTCTCACTAAGTTACCTAGTTTGGTCTCAAAACTTATGATCCTCCAGCCTCAGCCTCCAGAATACCTGGGATTATAGTTGTGTACCATCAGCTACACCTTTCTTTTTTAAAAAGAGAGTTATCTAAGAACATTTGCAAGAACAAATCCTGGCTGGGCATGATGACACACACCTGTAATCCCAGCAACTAGGGAAGTTGAGGCAGAAGTATCCCAATTCGATGCCAGCCTCAGAAACTTAATGAGACCCTGTCTCAAAAAAGATTGGGATATAGCTCAGTGGTAAAGCTCTGTGGTTCCAACTCCAGTACCAAATAAATAAATTTGGGGGTATGACTCAGTAGTAGTGAGCCACCAGCTTTAATCTATAGAACCCCCCCACCAAAAAAAAAAAAAGAATAAAAAAACAAATGAACAACAATGCCCTATTCCCCAAAGGTAGAAAATACAACAGGCAACTTTTGGATTTCAATCTTTCAAAGTAGCTCCTCGACATTCTCAAGTTTAACTTCACCACTTTACCAATTAGGCCACAAACATCTACCAAACAGGCAACTAGGAGCAAATGCTTTGTTCTCCAATTGGCTATGTCAAATATATCAAAATTATACCATTTTTAAGGAACTCAATTTCTTTCTTCACTACCCTACAGATACTCCAAAAGTGATTTCTCTCATATGGACACACTTTCTTTGTATACGTTTTTCCTAAAGCTATATTCTAAGCTATCTAACATTTCCTTTATTTATATTTTTTTATATCTCTACCCCAGGTTTTATACAATAACCTATTCCAACTATTCCAGCCAATTCTATCTCATCAAAAAACAAAGATAAGTTGGGCATGGTAGTGCATGCCTGTAATCCCAGCAGCTCGGGAGGCTGAGACAGGAGGATCGAGTTCAAAGCTAGCCTCAGCAAAAAGCAAGGCACAAACAACTCAGTGAGATCTTGTCTATAAATAAAATCCAAAAAAAAAAAAGGACTGGGGATGTGGCTCAATGTTGTGTGCCCCTGAGTTCAATCCCTAGTATCTCCCCACACACATCCACAAAAAGAAACAAAGATATTCTAAAAAGAACAAAAAAGAAAAGAAATAGAAATTGGGCATGGCACACTCCTGTAATCTAACTACTCAAGAGACTCAGGCAGAAGGATCGCAAATCTGTCGCCAGATTAGGCAATTTCAAGATCTAGTCTCAAAATAAAGTTAAAAAACAAAACAAAACTGGGAATGTAGCTCAGTACCTGCCTAACATATTCAAGGCCCTGAGTTCAATCTCCAGTACCAGAAACAAACAAACAAAAACCACACAGAAACTTTTTTCCAAAATAATCTCTTAAGGTAAACATGTTACAAAATAATCATTCAACAAAAGTCTCAATTTTTCAAACTATGAACACTTTAATCAGTTGAAAAATTTGTTCTTAGATACACACACACACACACACACATACATTTCAAATTAATTGCAAAAGAATTATGTTATCTTAGCAGCTCAGGAGGCTGAGGTAAGAGGATCCCAAGTTCAAAGCAGACTCTCAGCTTAGCAAGGCCCAAGGCAACTCAGTGAGACCCTGACTCTAAATAAAATACAAAAAAGGGCTGAGAATGTGGCTCAGTGTTTAAATGCCCAGGGGTTCAATCCCCAGTACCAAAAAAAATAATTTAAAACACTATATGTTAAAGAAGAGGGAAAGGGCACCAGGGATTAAACCCAGGGGTGCTTTACCACTGAGTTATACCCGCTGCCCATTTTATTTTGAGGCAGAGTCTCACTAAGACCTTGATCATGTAATAGTGCAGCAATACACTGATCAATTATATGAACAAGAAATTTTTGCCAGCTAGTTTCTACTTCCTCCCTAAACAGAGTTTTTTTCATCTCAATTTTAATTTTCAGAGCTGTTAGTACCATTTCATCTTTCAGGCCCTCCTGACATATTTGTATACTTCTTCTTGGACTGATCTCCCACTTCCTGACTTTACAACCTTAGTTCTACACAATCTTTGAAATTTGTTCTGGTGGGCTGGGATTGTGGCTCAGTGACAAGTGCTTGCCTATTACATGCAAGCAATTTCCATCGCCATACAAAAAAAAAAAAAAAAATAGTTTATTTTTATTTCAGTGGGACTTTCCCTGAAATTCTAGTTTAAAGAAATTTTTAAATTTTATTTATTTATTTTTGGTACTCAGGATTGAACCCATTGCTGGACTGCTACATGATCAAGCCTTATGATGATGTGAGTTACCCCACATAAGATTAGAAATAATTCATCCTGCCAGGTGTGGTGGCACATGCCTGTTAATTCCAGCTACTTGAGAGGTTGAGGCAAGATGATCAAATGTTAAAGGCTAGCCCCATCAACTTAGCTAGACCCTATCTCAAAATAAAAATATACAGGGTTTGGGATATAGCTCACTGATAGTGTACCCTTGGGTTCAATCCCTAGTACTGTTAAAAAATAAAAGAAAAAAAGAAAATTCATCTTAGACTGTGGTGTAACTCAGTGATAACTAAGCAAGTGCAAAGCCCTGGGGTCAATCCTCAATACCTTCAAAAAAGAAATCGTTCATCCTAATTTCTGAAAATTAGGAACTTTGTAATATATTTATATTAAAAGATCAAATTTTTTATTCTCATACAACATGACACAAATCTTAAGATGTTTATTTAGGCTACAGCTAACAGTTTATTAATATTAAGCAGTTTTCTGACAAAATAATTTTTGAAATCCTTGAAGAAATCTGACTTATAATTTATTTTACTTTATTTTAAGTATTTTGGAGGGGAGAGTGAAATATTTATTATTTATTTATTTTTAATGTGATGCTGAGGATCAAACCCAGTACCTAACATGTTCAAGGCAAGTGTTCTATCGCTGAGCTACAACCCCAGCCCTGACTTATAATTTTAGAACTTCATGTTAGCTGTCAATTTTAATTTGCCCTCAAAAAATAAAAATAATGACAATAAGCAGATAAACCATCACATTTGCCAGATGTGGTGGCGCATGCCTGTAATCCCAGAGACTCAGGAGGCCAAGGCAGGAAGATGATAAATTCCAGGCCAGCCTCAGCAACTTAGTAAGCAGCATCTCAAAATTAAAAAATAATTTTAAAAGGGCTGGGCTCAGTGGCAGAATGCCCCCGGGGTTCAAACGCTAGTACGGAAAGGAAAGGACTCCAAACCATGGCATTTGCCCTGTACTTTCATTCACTTGTCCCTTCTTCTAATAGCTAAAAAGGTGATGATTAGGACTGGCAATGAAACTCAGTTGCAGAGCCCTTGCCTACTTATATGCAAGGCCTTGGGTTTGATTCTCAGTAACACACACACACACACACACACACACAGTAATGACTAGAATTTGGATTATCAGTCATAAGATTAGGGCTTTGTTTACTTCATGAGCCCATATCATCTCTCTCTCCAAAGTATGCTAAAATGCTAAGCTTTCGGTCCTAAAAAGGCAGAATTTCTACCTCAGTGTCAAAGAATAAAGCTTGACAAGCAAGTATCTGAACACCATGATGTTTATGTTAGTCTTACTGATCACGGGATAGTACAGATTATGCATAGCTTTATTTCTTCTTTACCTGTTTCTCAAGCCTGTTCCATTGCCACAGCCCCCACCAACCAAAGTCTGTAAAGAAGGTAAAGCTGAACGGCTTAGCTGCTGCCGACTAGGGCCCCTCCTTCCACCGGGCATGTCCGGGAACCAGTCTGCTTCCAGTGCCACCTGTAGTTGCAACCCACGTTAATGGTTGTCAACCTGTTTCAACTCTGAACAACAACAAAAAATGTAAATATCAGTTAACTATCTTTAAAGTAGGCAATGTAACAAAATAACCAGAAAACTGAGTAAGTAGGCCTTGTAAAACCAGATTTTCAAACAAACACTCTCTGTGTCAATTACCTACTTTATTCTAATGAAAAGACTATTCAGATTCTAATGGGTCAGAATCCTAAATTTTGTTCAGTGTTAGGCAAGCTGCAATTTGTCTCTTTTGTCAGTTGACTTGTATCATATGAAAGATAGTACAATCAGGTAAAATTTTACAAGACCACAATTTAAACATTTCCTATTTAATATTTCAGGTTAAGTCACTTGAAATAAAGGAAGTTCATCACTGTCCATAATGTTAGGCTTTAGCCAGTGTGCCTCTGTAATCCCAGATACCCAGGAGGCTGAGGCAGAAGAATCACAAGAAGCTGAAACCTAAGAAAAGCCAATCTCAAAATTAAAATAATTGGGGCTGGGGATGAAGTTCAGTCAGTGGTTGAACGCTAGCCCAGCATGTGAGCGGTCCTAGAGGTCCTAGATTCAATCCCCACCACAGCACCCGTACTCAAATTTAGGTTTTGTTATCAAGTGATCCTGTTCTGAGTTAACATGTACCACATGTTATCTGACCTTGATTGATTTAACGTCTAAATTAGTTTCATCAGGAAAAAAAGGGTTCCCTGTTCTATGGTGTTTTGTCAGGACTGCTGAAGATGGGAAAAAGGGGACCTATAGGCCCTTAAACTCTTTAAAAAAAGTAAATTGTTCAAGTGGTATCTCCTCCACATGTTAGAGCGAAAGTACCAAAAGGAACTCAAGCGGATGCCTACTTCAGGAAAACGGGTAACGTCATTTGGAAATTATTGAAATTACAAGATTATAAGGCAAGTAACAAAGATCCTCACTGAAAAGAATTGGTGTCCTCACCAAACTAAGGCAAAAATCATAGTTCCGCCAATGTGAACACCAAATGTTTCCTAAAACAGTACAACCAAAAACTGAAGAATCACACGCTGGAAAAACCCTGATTTTCAAAACACTACTGCAGATTGATTTGATGTTCCCTATTCCTAACAGCCTTCGGCTGCACACTAACAAACCCAAGGTGAGAAACAGCATTCAAACTGTTGGGTGTTGGGGTCGCTGGTTCTTGCTCAACAAAAAAAGGGAAAGAAAAATGAGGGGAACACTGGGAGAGAAGAGAAAATATGAGATGCGGGGAGGTAGATGGCGAGAAACCACAAACTTCAAGAGACCGGCCCCTAAAAGAAGACGACAAAGCGGTCCCCGTCGCCCACCCGGGAGGACGAAAGCAGACCCGGGACAGTCGGACGCGGCAGCTAGGTAATACTCACGCATGGAGGAGGCCCGGCCAGTGGGGCGGGATCCCTGGGAGGAGGAGGTGGCTTTAAAGACTGGACCCCAGGCAAGATAACTAGCTCCCGGCGTTAAAGCTCTCCAAACCAGCTGCCTGCATGCAGGCTGTCCCCGCCTGGAGGGTTGAAGCAGGGCGTCCAGGTTTCAGGCCGCTAGACCCAGACCCAGACCTAGACCCCGAGTCAGTGGCAGAGCTAAAGCTAGAACCAGAACCCAGCCCCGTCAGCACTCATCCTCAGCCTCCATTACCGCGGAGCTGAGCAGACGTGGCAGCGCACGGTGATGATGTCAGCTCGGCGACTGCTGCCCGCCCCAGCAGCAGCGAGCCCCGGAACTGCACTCGCAACAGGAGGAATGGACCTCCAGCCTCCGGTATGCGCTTGCGCAGTCATCCCACCTTCCCAGCGCGAGCTGGCTGGTGTATTTCCTACTCTGGCTTCAGCCGCCTAGTTGTTCTTATCTCACGTTGTACAAGGACTAGCTCTGTACGAGTTGTTGTCCCATTCAAATAAGGACTGGGAGACGTCATCTAAGCTCCCATCACTATCCTATTTAATATTTCAGGGGTCTCAGTAACTCTTCAGCAGCCAACCTCGGGCTTACTGTAAAGGACTAGATTATGCTAGGATTAAAAAGTGAATACTGAAGCCAGATTTAAAGTTAGGTAGTCAGTGTAGTTAGATAAATCGGGTCTAATGCCGAGTGAAATCTAAAATGGAGGCCATGCTGGCAATGATTCAGGGAAAACACAGGACAACTCATGGAATGTTAATGAAGTCCCGAAAAGGCCCTAGGCCAAAGTCCACCTCAAAGAAATGTTAATGAACAGCCCCCAGCAAAAAGGTGCTGACTCAGAAGTCCTTCCTGACCAGATTACTTCTTTGGCCCACCTGTGTCCCACCCCTCGGTCCTTCCCACCTACATTCCATCACTGAAAGAACTATAAAAAGGGGAGACAACATCCCTTCCACGGATTCCACCTCTTGGGTCCCCTTCTTCCTCCGGGAGAAGTCTTTTCTGCTGTCCTTTAATAAACTTCTAATTTCTACTCTGACCTTGCCTTGGCGTGCTTCTTTGGTGTTATTCTTCAACATTGGGGAAGCAAGGACTCGTCACCGGTCAACAGCGGTATCAATACCACAGAAGCTCCGAGTCTAGAGGAAAGGACCAGATAGTGGGAAAACACAATAATTTGGGTTTATTACAATAAATGCAACGTTATTATATTCAAGGTCCAGATATAGTAAAATGAACTATCTCTGGTAATGAACTTGGAGATGGTGGTGGAGTGAGTGCCAAACAAAGCTTCGTAGAGAACTTGGGGTTTAAGCCAAGACTCCATGAATGAGTAGGCAGTTTTGCAGGAGAATGGAGAGGAAGTGGCAGATAAAGAGGTAAGAAAGACTCAATGATACAGGTTGGGTTTAGCATGCATCAGGCCTTAGGCTCAATCCTGATGAGCCAATAGTTTGGTATTAGAAGAGTAAGAGTATTAAAAGGAGCATTTATGTAAGACTTACCACTCCACAAACATAATCTTTTAAGAGAAAGCCTTTGCCTGGCGCAGTGGCACAAGCCTGTAATCCCAGCTACTTGGAGGATCGCAAGTTCTAGGTCAGATTCGACAATTTAGTGAGACCCTGTCTCAAAAAATAAAAAGGGCTGGAGATGTACCTGAGCGGTAAAGCATCCCTGTGTTCAATTCTCAGCACTGGGTGGGGTGGGGATCTCCTTATATTGATCATATAATTACTTAACTTTTATTGAAGGTTGTTGCTGTGTCAGACACTAGACAAGTAACTTTACAGGTTTCATTTAAATCTCATAGGGCTGGGCTGGGGATGTAGTTAAACAGTACAATGCTTGCCTAGCATCTGTGAAGCCGTGGGTTGAATTTTCAGTAGGGAGGAGGTGAGAGAGAGAAGTCTCACAAAGCTTTGATAGATGCTACCATGGTTTCCATTTCAGAGGAAAAGAAGTACTCCGTTAAAAATAACCCAGCTAGACAGAGCCAGAATGACTGCTAATCAAAACCACTAAAGATAGTAATATTCCCCAATATTTATGGTATCCTAATGTATCACAGAGCCTTCATTCATGAATATATAAAACCCAACATAGATTATTACATACTTTCATTATTCACTTCTTGCCATAAGGAATTTTGTACATTTGCTGTTAACTGCTTCCTAACTTGCTACATTGAAACTCCTTTGATCTTTTCTGTTGGTTCACCAGCATCCTTCCTTCATTCAGCAATTAGTTATTTAGTGCCTACTGTGTACCAGACACTGTTAGTGATCAAGACAGGTACATCCCTGCCCTCCTGTGGCTTATATTCTAACGAGGAAAATATTTAATATATAAAACAATTAGAAATTATAGGTATTATGAAAGAGACAAACAAGGGGCTGAGGTAAATAATAAGAGAGTACTATTTGGGGGCATGTCTTTTTGAGGCAAAGATATTCAGTAGAAACTGAATGCAGTAATGCAACAATGGAAGAGAAAAGCTGTCTAGCCCAGAGCAGTGGTACGCATTTGTAATCCCAGTGTCTCAGGAGGAGGAAGCAGAAAGATCACAAGTTTGAGGCCAGTCGGGGCAACTTAGTAAGAATCTGCCTCAGAATTAAAAAAAAAAAAAATTTAAAGACTGAGAATGTAGTGAGTGGTACGATCTCTATACCCCCTACCCCCCCCCCACACACACGAAAAGGAAAAGCAGTCCAAATAGAAATAGAAACAAAATTTATGCAGAGATCTGAGCACTTTTGTAAAGCAACCTACTGTATGACTGAATCATGATAATCAAAGGCAATGTTACATGAAATGAATTTGAAGACTCAGGCAAGTACTTTTAAACAACAATATTTGAGCCTGACCTTGTAGTACATGTTGCTTAAAGCTTGCTCCTTGTCCCCAATGCCAATCCAATAGCGAGGACACAGTTTTGTGAAAAAGGAAAAAGAAGATTTATTACTTTGCTAGCAAAGGAGAAATGCAGGGGATTCCTATCCCAACAGCTGTGATTCTGCCATAGTATGAAAGGGGGCTTTTATAGAGGTGATTCAGAGAAAATGAGATTAGGGAGGAGAGATAAGCAAGAAGTTTAAGGAAAAGAAGATCAGGGAGCAGAAGTTTTAGGGAAAAGAAGATTGGGGGGAAAGAAAAAAACATGTAAGTTTCACAGCCACAAGGGATATATATAGTCAAAGCATCAAGTGAACCCCTATTACATACATACTTGCAATCCCAGCTACTGGGGAGGGTGAGACAGGAGAATGACAAGTTTGAGGCCAGCCTCCACAACTTAGTGAGGCCCTAACTCAAGAAAAAAAAATAAATAAACCACAGTATTTGCTTTTGGGGAGAAGGGGGCACTGGGAATTGAACCCAGGGGCACTATTCCACTGAGCTACATCCCCACGTTTGACGCCAGCTTGGGCAACTTAGTGAGAACCCATCTCAAAAAATGTCTGAGCATGTAGCTCAGTGGTAGAGCATCCATGGGCTCAATCTCCAGTACTCACCCTGACCCGACCAAAAAATAAAGGTAAACTATCTTCAGGGAAGCATTTGTTTTCTCTAATAGTTCTAAATTCCAGGGCACAAATTTTATTTTGGTACTTCCATGTAGTTCTGCAAAGCCTAAGGTTATTTATACAAGGATAAAGAACTGTATGATCACTAATACATGCCTACATAACCTATATCTGGATATGTTAAGTATAATATCCAGTTTTATGTTGTCACCTGTCAAAAAATAAAGATCTAATTGGCTTTCATTAGTGAGCTATGAATCTGGCAGCATCTCATCTGTGAAAACAGTTGTTCTGGTGGCATCTCATCTATGAAAATAGTTGTTCTGGTGGCATCTCATCTATGAAAATAGTTGTTCCAAGATCTGAGCAGAGGTGGTTAGCTAAACAGGCAGAAAAGGGATGAAGAAATAAAGAATGAAAAGCAGGATGAAAGTTAACTTTCCTTAGAGGGTTAAAACAGGAACTTCTTTATTATGCTGGCCCACTAGACTGAGCTCTTTCTGATTGGTTGCTGTGAATCTCCTGTTTTGTTTTTTAAAGGAGACCATTTAAAGACCAGTTTGATTACTGGCATCTAGGTCAAGTGACTTCATTCTGATTTGGTCTGGTCGGTGCACACTGCAGGAGCTCAGTCCAAATAATGGCTTCTTGTGAATTTTATTTAACACCACTGATTTTTTTTTTCTATGCCTAAGTCACCCCACCTGTTACAAATTCCTATTACAAAGGGACCTGTGATAAACTATTTGCAATATTTGGAGATCTTGTTTTGTTTTTGCAGTTTGGGGACTAGAACCCAGGATCATTCTGCCTCTGAGCTACCTTCCCAGCCCTTTATTATTTTTTTATTTTGAAACAGGATCTTGCTAAATTGCTGAGGCTGGCCTCAAACTTTGGATTCTCCTGCATCAGCCTCCCTGGTCACTGGGATTGCAGCCATGCAAACTGTTCTATGCACATTCACATGCTCAACAAATCTAGGCTATTTAATAAGAAGCAGTTTGATATTGTGGAAAGATCAAGCCTAGGCTCAACGACAAGACTTGGTTGTGGGGGCTGGGGATGTGGCTCAAGCCGTAGTGCGCTTGCCTGGCATGCGTGCGGACCAGGTTCGATCCTCAGCACCACATACAGACAAAGATGTTGTGTCCGCCGAAAACTAAAAAGTAAATATTAAAAAAAAAAAAAAAAAAAGACTTGGTTGTGCCACTGACTGCGAAGCTGTAGGAGCAAAGTACTCTCTGATCTTCAGTTTTCTGGCTGTAAAGAATATTTGTAATATGCTGTAGAATGGAAGGAATTGACGTTGTTGGAGGTGCTTGCCCGCCGGCGTGCGGGCGCCTGGTTTCCAGCTGGCATCTCCGCAGGCCTGCGCCGGAGCGCGCACTGGGGCCCCCTCTGCGCCGGGCAGCCCGCGCGTCTCCGGGTTGCGGAGCCGGTCGCCATCTTTGTGCGGGGCGGGGCGGCAGGGAGTCAGCAGCGGGTCGGCGGGCTATGGAGCGGCGGATCAGCGCTCGGCTTCGGCTCTGGCTGCTGTTGCTACTCCTGCTCCCAGTGCAGGGCCGCCAGAAGGAGTCAGGTGGGCTCCCGGCAGGGCCGAGTCTGCGGCTGGGCTCGGGCCTGGAGGCGCTCCCCCCGTGGCAGGCGTCCTAGAGGATGCTATGGCCGCTGTAGCGCAGAGTTGGGCAGCGGCCACCGGCGTCTTGAAGTGGAGAGAGAGGGTGTCTGGGGCTCTGCTTCTGCCCAGGACCCTGGCGGGCAACCCATCCCCGGAATGCTTGGTGATAGCGAGGAGAGGGAAACCCCTCTTCTCGCGCAGGAGGTATCGCCCGCGCTCGGCCGTTCTGTACCTCCTTAGAACCCACTGGGAGAAGCGGGTGGGTGGGCTGTGAGAGTGTGAGTGTGTGTGTGTGTGTGTGTGTGTGTGTGTTGTCAGAAGGGATGAAGGGAAGGTTAATGTCCATGACTTTTAATTGATCCTTTTTTTAATCGGACTCAATTTGATTAGAAGATGAGAGTCCTTGTCGCCATCCAGTTTACCCATAGCCTTCTGAATGAAGGCTGAGCATTAACCTCGTGGATTTTCCAATTTCTTGGACTCCTAATGGCCCCGTAAAGGAGCAGATCTGACTAAAGCGCTGGCGAGTTACAGAATCCTTCCTAGTGCTTTGTTTCAAAGAGTGGGATAGGAAGGGGATTTCTGAAAGTGTTGATCTTTTGTTGGCCCTGTCTGCTTACTGAAAGAAAAAACAATGCTCAGAGATATTTAGTTGACTTTCATTTCGCTTTTTGAAGGTTCAAAGTGGAAAATATTTATTGACCAAATTAACAGGTCTTTGGAGAATTATGAACCATGTTCAAGTCAAAACTGCAGCTGCTACCATGGGTGAGTTCTTTGATGTGACTTTTGAATTAAATTCTTGTCAGAAGGTTGTACCCTACTGAGAGCTGGGTGGGAGTGGTGTATACCTGTATTCCCAGCGACTTGGTAGGTGAGACAGAAGGAGAACTTGTTCCAGACCAACTTACCCAGACTCTTGTCTCAAAATTTAAAAAAATAAAAACGGCTGGGGATGTAGCTTAGTGGTTGAGCACCTCTGGGTTCAATCCCTGGTAAGGAACAAAAAAAAAACCCTTGAGAGACTTTGGTTGCAATAGAGCAGAAAGGATGACTGAGGTGGTTCTCTTTAATTCTAAGGAGTGCAAATGCCCTGGCTCTAGAATGGGCCCTGTGGTCTCAGCATTACTTCATCCTGTGGAACATCCTGTGGAAATCATGAATCATGATTTCATCCCATGGATTGAAAATTTCTTGATTTCTGGGTCTATGTCTTATTTTTTGTTGCACCTCAGTAAGTGCACTGGATAAAAACTGTTGAAAGAATGCACATATTTATCAATGCATCCAATCATTAATTTCCTGTTGGTTACCTTTAATGTGTGCAAATTAGGACTGGAACTTGGTATGGTAGAAAGATAACTACATAAAAGATCTCAGATTGGTCATCAGCAGGGCGACTTCTCATTGTATTATTCTGACTCCTCAGATATTCACCTGATACTTATTGCAAACTTACTATGTACTGAGCTTCCAGGGAGATACAAAATAGTTTATTTTCTGTCAGGTTTTTAGAGCATGTGTATGGGCAGGGTGGGGGATAGACTGTTAGACTGTGAAACATGAACCATAATTTTTGTGGGTGTCCAGACAAAGGGATATATGTCAGTAGGTCTGCAGTGGCTGGGAGGACTTGGACATGACATAAACAGAGGACTATGAATTTAACAAGGAAGAAGCAGTCCAGATAGAGGCAAGAAGAAGAGACATTTACTTGACTATTAACTTTTTGTACTTTTGTTGTGTTTGATGCCTGCCCCCAACTGATGATTGAATCCAGAAGCAATTTACTTCTACATCCCTAATGCCCTTCCCCCACCCCCTGCCTTTTAAAAAGTTTTCTTTTGAGACAGGGTTTTATTAAGTTGCTGAGGGTGGTCTTAAACTTGTGATCCTCCTGCCTCAGCCTTCCGAGATTGCTGTGCCACCATGCCCTGCAGGTTTGATGTTTTTTGTTTACCCATGGTACTTCTGGAGAAGAGAGTTGCTCATTCTTGCTCATTGCTTTTTTTTTTTTCAAAGGTGCTTAGGAATGAAATGCAGAGCCTCATACTTGCTAAGCAAGTGCGCTACCTCTGAACTACTCTCTGGTCCCTGACCCCTCTTTGCCTCAGTTTACTGTGTTCTCTAGTACTAAATGTAAATGCATTTGGGAAGTTCATGGAATGGTACTGCTTCTAGGCTGCTTTCCTTGACAATTCTTACTCCTTTCCAGTGTTATAGAAGAGGATCTGATTCCTTTCCGAGGAGGAATCTCCAAGAAGATGATGGCGGAAGTAGTCAGACGAAAGCTAGGGACCCATTATCAGATCATTAAGAACAAATTATACCGAGAATATGACTGCATGTTTCCCTCAAGGTAAGAGTTATGAGGTAGATGCATCTTCTGACCTTATTACATATAGGCCTACTTGATACTGCTTTTAGAAGCCCATTCAGGGTCCTGACAAGTGAATCCCTCCTTACATTTCCGGAGGACTGCTACCATGGGTGAGTTGATAAGCTCTTTCACATGCCTGGGAATTTTTTTTTTTTTTAAATATTTATTTATTTATTTATTTTAGGCGGACACAACATCTTTGTTTGTATGTGGTGCTGAGGATCGAACCCGGGCCGCACGCACGCCAGGCGAGCGCGCTACCACTTGAGCCACATCCCCAGCCCATGCCTGGGAATTTTTCTTGCCAGTTCCTTTTTTTTTTTTTTCCTTATTTGTACTAGGGATTGAACCCAGGGCATTTTACCACTGAGCTACATCCTCAGCCTTTTTTATTTATATATTATTTTGAGACAGAGCTTTGCTAAGATGCTTAGGGCCTTGCTAAGTTGCTGAGGCTGGCCTCAAACTTGGGATCCTCCTGCCTCAGCCTCCTGAATCATTGGGATTACGGGCATACATTACCATGCTCAGCTTCCAGCTCCTCTATTGAAGTCTATCTCCTCTCTCTTTATGAGGTTTGGGCACATCACTGGATATATTGGCTAAACTGTCCTTGCCCTTTCGTCTCTTCTGTCCGTGGCTAGAGTAGCTGCAGGACACAGGCTGATGGAACCTAGCAGGGGTGAGCTTGGCTGAAGGAGGAAGAAAAATATAGGTATTTACTGAATGTCTATTATGGACCAGGTACAGAGAGAACAGCTCACCTTTTTCACTGCTGTATAATGATCTAATATATGGATTTCTTTATTGGGACCTCTGCCAGTGAGCATTTAAATTATTTCTCACCATACTCCTGTTCCTCTGATATTTGGCTACCAGAAATAGCACTGCAGTGAATATTCTTGTACTCATACCTTGGAGCATTTCTATAAATATATATGTAAGCTAAGTTTTTAGAAGTGGAATAACTAAGTCAATTAATGTGTTTTTAAAATCATGAAAAATAAAAAATAAATTGTCCTTCAGAGAGGTTGTTCTTGATTGTCAGGAGCCACTCTGGACAGAAGCTATGTGTACACCTTTAAGTCCTGAGTAAAGGGGTACTGAACAGTTATTGCACCCTGCAATACATTGGGCTTTACCTCCACTCAGATAAGGAAGATGTTGCTCCAGGAGTGGGTGTCATCCAACTGGGCTGTATTACACCCACCTGTTCCTTCTAATCCTACCTCTTTGCCCTTTTGTGGATAGAATGTTCCATGGAACATCGCCTTTTATGTACCCTATATAAGAATAAAGACTTCCAGTGGCTCTGTAGGGATAATCATTTACGTAATATAAAGGTTAGGATAGTACTTTATCCTAACTTTGTAAAGTACTTTATAAGCATTGCTTTCAGGACCCCTAAGGTCACAGAGCCGTTCCTGGATTTTGAAAAGGGGCTTCTGTGTGTTTGCATGCTTTCTTCACCATTTTCTTAAGTTATTGGAATAGTCAGATTTTGTGAACCCGGCGTTAGGTCGCCAGCATAGATAGATGGCGATACCTGTTCATATTTCTGCCGTCCTTGTTTCACATTCTCTGAATAGACCTTGTAGCCTTACCAACATTGTGTACTAGACTTTTTGATCTTTGCCAATCTGATTGGTAAAATCAGCATGTATTTTTTGACATTTCTTTCTTTTATTTTACAGTACTGCGTATTGAACCCAGAGGCACTATACTACTGAGTCACATCCCCAACCCTTTTTATTTTTTATTTTGGGACAGGGTCTCACCAACTTACTGAGGTTAGCCTCAAATTTGTGATCCTCTTGCCTAAATTTACAATTCACTGGGATTACAAGCATATGCCATTGCATCCAGCTCACATTTTGTTTTCTTTCCCCACTTTTTAAAATTGGTGCATTATAGTTGTACATAGTGGGGGGATGACATTTTATTTTTAGTACTATTGAGCATCTTTACCTATGTTTTTGAACTATTGGTATTTTTTTGTAGTCATTTCCTTATATATAAAATTATCTCAGGGGCTGGGGATGTGGCTCAAGCGGTAGCGCGCTCGCCTGTCATGCGTGCGGCCCGGGTTCGATCCTCAGCACCACATACAAACAAAGATGTTGTGTCCACCGAGAACTAAAAAAATAAATAAATATTAAAAAAAAAAAAAAAATTTAAAAAAAAAAAAAAAAAAAAAAATTATCTTAAATCAGTCATTTCCATGTGGCCAGAAAATTTTGATCAATGCTTGGAGTGCTGCCCTAGTGTGGTGCTGTTCAGGACCTTGAAGGATAGGGCAGAAACAAACTAAACAGTCTGTGTGTCTCCTCTTTCTTTAAAGAAATCCTCTGTGGATTCCTGAGACAGTTCAGTCAGGAAGTAATGTTACAGCCTTTGTGATTATGCAAACACTTCTTTCTGACTTAAAAAACTAATTTTAATAGTGTTCTGTATTTAAGTTGAAGATAATGAGGAGAGATTTTCTCTCCCCATAAACTATGACAGTTGTGATGGAAATAACATGGTGTCTGTGTTAGTTTTTCATGACTGTAATAGAATACCTGAGAAAATTAACTTAAAAAGAGAAAAGAATGGCGTGTCCCTTTCTTTAATGGAGGCTGCTCTCTCTTAAATATATTATATTTCAGAGATTTCAGTCCATAATCAGTTGGCCCCATTGCTTTTGGGCCTGTAGCAGGACAGTGTATCATGGCAGAGAGTGTGTGGTGGAGCAAATAGTTTGCCTTAATGTGTATGCGAAGCAAAGAGAGAGAGAGAGAAAGAGATGGATATGGTGTTCCAGTTTCTTTTAAGAGCACACCTCCCAAAGACCTAAAACCTCTCACTGTACCCACTTTTTATAATTCTCTTAATTTTCCACTAACTCCCAATAGAGCCAAGTTGACGACCAAGCGTTTAGCACATGGGCCTTTGTGGGGCCTTCCAGATTCAAACTATAGCAGTGCCTTTGTGAGAAGCAAAGCTCAGGAACACAATTAGAAAATTAGCTCTTCCAGTTCCTATCAGAATGTGTACCTTTCCTAATAATTAACTAATCCATAAAAGGGAAATAAAGAAAAATCTGGGAACGAATAGAGGAAAAGTAGTAGAAGTTGCAATCATATTCCCTTCAAAGATATTATTTATTTGGAAAATTTTATTACGTGTTGTAAGCCGGAATAGCTTAACTAGGGATGATAATTTACACAATATAACTTTGTAAAGTACTTCAGAAGCATTGCTTTCAGCAGGCTGGGGTTGTTGCTCAGCGGTAGAGCGCTTGCCTAGCATGTTTGAGGCACTGAGTTTGATTCTCAGCACTGCATGTAAATAAAAAAAATAAAGTCCGTCAGTAACTTTAAAAATATTAAAAAAAAAAAAAAGAAGCAGCAGCATTGTTTTCAGGACACTTTGCAGTAGGCTAATGATCTGAACACTGGCTTGTCTCATTTTGAAGTATGACTGGGACCCTTTATCCTAGACTCTGCAGACACTACTCTGGTGACTGTAGTTTTTCTCATTGACAGATGTAGTGGTGTTGAGCACTTTATTTTGGAAGTTATTGGGCACCTCCCTGACATGGAGATGGTAATCAATGTACGAGACTATCCTCAGGTTCCTAAATGGATGGAGCCTGTCATCCCAGTCTTCTCCTTCAGTAAGGTAAGTGCAAAAAGAGCCATAAGGGAGGGGTGGAGGGTGTTCCTTTAGAATATGAGAAAAGATCATCGTCTTGTGGCAGAGTCTAGTGGGTAATAGTAAAGATGACCCCTGAGGTCCAAGAGTGGGTTCTCTGTCCCCGTAAGTTCACAATGGTTGAGCAATAAGACAGAGAAGATGGAGTTGAGGATCCGTAAATAATGTAAGATCGCTTACATGTCTGTGTGCTAGGGATGGAGGCTAGGGAGTAAGAGGCCTGAGGAAACTACAGGGCATTGGAAGTAGGGCTCAGAAATCTTACAGAGAGCCAGGCGTGGTGGCACATCCCTGTAATCCCAGTGACATGGGAAGCTGAGGCAGGAGAATCTCAAGATCAAGGCCAGCCTTGGCAACTTTGTGAGATCCTGTCTCAAAAGCAAAGAATGGTTGAGGATGTAGTTCAATGGTAGAGTAACTTTGGGTTCAATCTCTAGTGCCACCACCTCCTGCCCCCACCTCCCACCCCCGCCAAAAAAAAAGCAGGGCACAGTGGCACATGCTTATAATTCCAGCCACTTGGGAGGCTAAAGCAGGAGAACCACAGGTTTGAGACCAGCCTCAGCACTGTAGCGAGATCCTCAGCAATTTAGTGAGACTTTATCTCAAAATAAAAAAAACAAAAAAGGACTGCAGATGTAGCTCACAGGTAAAGTATCCCTTGTGTTGAATCCCCAGTACAAAATAAATAAATAATAGTATGGGGGAAGAGTGGAAAGTGGATTTAGGAAAACCCCATGGATTTTTAAAAAGGAACATCATCTCTGACTTGGTTTTTCCAAAGCAGAAGGACCTTTTATTCTCACTTTTTTTTCTTTATCACAGTTTACTTTCTCTCTAGACTTATTTATTTCCTGTGTTGCAAGTGGGCTGAGGCCACATTTTGTATTGCATTGTCCATGGTTTAGCCTCATTTCTCAAAAGTGCTTGGTCTCATTGTTTGTCGTGAAACTCTTCAAGAAGAACAGATAGAGGCTCCCATGTAAGTCAGTAAGGACTTGGTGTCTATTATTTTTATCTGTTATTTCTGTGGATAATAAAGTATGACCATCAGTATACTAACTTTCCTTTTATCTTTCCTCCCTTCTATTTTTTAAAAACCGATTCGTAGTTTCAAAGGGAGGGATTTTAATATGTTAACTTTGTAGTTAATTATGTAGCTTCCATTGAATAGCTGTTATGTGGAAGTGCTTGATGAATTACTTAATATTTTTAAGTATTTAAGAGAAGTTAAACAGCATATTGCACATGTAATCCCAATGCAGAAATAGTTGTTAGAGGTTTATCAGTGACCAGATATTAACAGAGAAATCATAAGAAGTAACAAATGAAGGGCTGGAGTTATAGCTAAGTAGTAGACCACTTGCCTAGCATGTGTGAAGTGCTGGCTTTGATCCTCAACACCACATAAAAAATAAATAAATAAAGATATGTGTCCATCTACAACTAAAAAAATATTAAGAAAAATAACAGGTGGTTTCAAACTTTCTTCGGAAGATGTGTGATTATACTCTTATCTGCCCATTGGTACTTCTCACCCTGATCAGTGAGTAAATAGCTGAGGATTTACTGTCCAACCATGTGAGCTTAACTGTGTCAGGAACCACTAGCCAACACTTATTAAATACTTTCTAATTGCTGGACACTGCCCTAAGCTTGTATTAAGACACTTTGTATTCAAAATCAGCCTAAAAATAGAGAGTATTATTGATAATATTTTCACAATACAATGATGAAAAAACTGAGGCAGAGAGAGATTAAGTAATTCGCCTAGAGTTGTAAAGCGGTTGAGGCTGCATTCAAACTCTCACAATCTGTCCCAAGAGCCCACACTCTTAATCCTTGTACTGTATTTCCTGGGTTTTACTCTCAAAGGACCCACTGGAAAATAACAAAGAACTGGTAAGGCCGTGAAAACTCCAAATGTAATAGCAGTAAAATGATGAGAGAAGTAGGTAGATTATTTCCTTAAAATAAAATCTTAACAGTATGTATATCTCCTCTACAAAAAACAGAAGTTTGAGGAACTGAAAAAGTTGACCTTTAATATTATTCTAAATTCTGGGCTATGGTGATCCTGTGGATTTTAACCCATGGTCACTTTTGCCTTGTAATGTCTAGGGTGTGGACCTTGCAGACTAGGGGAAATGTATCTTTGGCAAGTGGACACTACAGCAGGGCCTTTGTCTATATCTCATGTCATGAATGCAGTTTGCTTCTTCTTGCTCTGTTCCAAGACTTACTTAGAATGGCCTTTCTGTTTCTGTTGAAGACATCCGAGTACCATGATATCATGTATCCCGCTTGGACATTTTGGGAAGGGGGACCTGCTGTTTGGCCAATTTATCCTACTGGTCTTGGACGGTGGGACCTCTTCAGAGAAGATCTAGTAAGGTAGGTCCTTTAGAAAGGTTTTGTATTTTTCTCTTTGTGGGTTTTGTTGAAATAGCAGTAGAGCTGAGTGTAGTGACACATGGCTATAAACAGTATAGTATAACTAAGTTTTTTACTTTAAAAAGATTGACTTTTAAGTTAAAAATAAGACTGTTCATAGTAAAAGCAATTTTGTGTACATATAAAAATATACATATCTAAAGAAATTGCAGAAGAATCTATCCTAAACTGTCAGCAGTGCCTCTGTGGGAGAGATTACAGGACCCTTTTATTTTCTTTTAAAATATTTCTGTACTTTAAAGATCTCAAGAGCAAATTACTTTCATAATAAGAGAAAATGAATAAACATATTGTAATGGGAGAACACAGAAAATATTTGGAAGAGTATAAATGTACTTGATAATTTAGGCAGGTATGTGGGAGCATAGTTATCCTGTAGGTATCTCAAGTGCAAGCTTATTCCAGATCTTCTCTGTTCATGACTTAAACATACTTTGGCCTGTTGTTATCTTCCTTCCATGGTTTTGGTTTTTAGATGGATCTCATCATCCAAGCCATAGGTATTCCTTTATTCCTTATCCAGCTACATTTCACAGTAATAATGATTCAGTGTAGGTGCTTTTTTCCTTTTCTTTGTTTTTTATTTTATTATGTTTTGTTTATTTATTTTTGCAGTACTGGGGATTGAACAAAGGGATACTATACCACTAATCTACATCCCTGGCCCTTTTTAAAAATTTTGAGACAGGGTCTCATTTAATTGCCCAGGCTGGCTTTGAACTTGCAATCATTCTGCCTCAGCCTCTCAAGTCCTAGGGATTACGGGCGTGTACCACCATGCCCAGCTAGCATAAGTTCCTGAGGAACTAATATGACATGTGTGCAAAGATGTACATACTAGGATGTTTACTCATATGTTTCTTAGAGTGAAAAGTTGGAAACTACCTTTGGGTATGGTTGCACATGCCTATAATCCCAGCAGCTGGGGATGCTGAGGCAGGAGGATAGCAAGTTCAAAGCCGGCCTCAGCAATTTAGTGAGGTCCTAAACAACTCAGTGAGACCCTGTCTCTAAATAAAATATAAAAAAGGGCTGGAGATGTGGCTCAGTGATTAAGCACTCTTGAATTCAATCCCTGATACCAAAAAAAAAAAAAAAAAAAAGTTGGAAACTTTTCAAACCTATCAAAAAGGGATGACATGAATTATGTCATGATTCTAAAATGGAATACTATGAATGAATGGAAAGGCAGGGTAGAAAAAGGAGTTAAAAAACCAGGACTCTGGATTCAAATCTTGGTCCTGATTAGCTGTGTGACTCTGATCAAGTTGCTCCTCTCAAGGTGCTCGCCTGTAAAAAAGGGGTAATAAAACCCACTTTAACTGGGTGCAATTGCACCCAGTTTATAATCCCAGTTTAATTCAAGGCCAGCTTGGGCAACTTAGGGAGAACTTGTTTCAAAATAAAAAACAAAAAGGTTGTAGCACAGTGGTAGAGTGCCCCTGGGTTTGATCCTCAGTACTACAATTAGTTAATTAAACTCATGTTATAAGGTTGTGGGAATGATTTGATATACATAAAGCATATACATAAAACAGTATCCAGGACATAGGAAGTATAAGTGTTGGTTATATAATTATTGATCATATATTTTTATATATAAATATATATACATGTCTAAAGAAGTTGCAGAATAAAAAACTGCAATTTGGTTATATAATTATTTTATCATATATGGAATGACTTATTATACAAAGTAAGGTTTATCAGTCTTGGCACTATTCACATTTTGGACTTGATAATTTAATTCTTTGTTATGGGAAGCTGTCCTATTCCTTATAGGATGTTCAGCAGCATCTCTTGCCTCTACTCACTAAATGCCACTAGTAATCTTCCAGTTGTAATAATCAGAAATGTCTGTGGGCCCTGAGTAAGGATGGAGAAATAAAATCACTCCAAATAACAGGTGTGGCTCAGTGGTTGAGGGTTTACCTAACATACAAGATCCTGGATTCAATCCACAGCTCTGCAAGAGAAAGAAAAGCATTGATATAGAGAAGTGTGATTGAAAAGAAATTCTTCACTAGAACATTATATTCTTACCTGTGGGTAGAGAGAGTCCAAATGAATTTTTACTTTTATCTTTTTCAGTTAGAATTTAATATAATGAACCTGTCATTTTTCCACAATTAAAAAAAATCTAGTGCTATGATGTTCATATTTTGATGGGAAGAAGTATGAGGAGAAACAAGAGATAGTTCTGGCATTGAACTGGAGGATCAGGTAAAGGTGATCTAGCAAGAAAGAACTAGAGGAGAAGCTGGACATGGTGGCACACGCCACCATGTGACTCAGGAGGGTGAAGTAGGAGTATCACAGGTTTGAGGCCAGCCACAGTAACTTAGTGAGACCCTAAGCAATTTAGCAAGATCCTATCTCAAAATAAAAAGTAAAAAAAAAGGACTGGGAATCGTTAAGCACCCCTGGATTAAATCCTGGTGTCAAAAGAAAAGAAAAGGATTGGGGATTTGGGAATATTACTTAGTAGTAGAGTGTCCCTGGGCTCAATTGCTAATGCCACCCCCCACCCACTCCCCCCCTTCCCACTCCTCCCTCCCAAAGAAAAGGAAGAAAAGAAAAAAGAAAGGGTTAGAAAATGAGCCAGATTAGCTGATGTTAGAGGCCTGAGGGCCTGGGAAATAATGAGAAATGCTCTCAGCTGAGCAAAAGTGAATTCCATGATACTAGGTATCAGAAAAGAACCTACATCCTGTGTTCCTCCATTCCTGTAATATAGTTCACCAATCTCTCATTCACTCAGCCTTCCTCTCCTTTTTCAGAGATAAGTACTACAGTCTTCTGTGCAAGGACAGTTCCTATGAACAAAGTCAGAAATGATGCAGCTGAGTAGCAATTTCAGCAAGGAAGGCTGGTCATGCTAATGTGTACTGAAACCTGAGTTTCAGGAACTTTATCTTTCTAGAGCATTTCATACAGCTGTAATAATACCAGGGTGCTTTGCAAATGTCAGTAAATCTGTTGACACCTACACCTCCAAAACATGAAGTCAGGGAGTGAATTCCCTTTCATTCAATTTCTAATGTTCTTCTCAGTTTTCTTCATGTTAATTCTATCAATAGCATTGTTAAAGTAGAGGGTAAATCCTCATTGTGTCAAACAGCCCCCAACGTGTCATTCAGAGTTTGGGAGCTTTTTTTCCCCACCAAGTTAATGTTGTTACTTATTAACAGGGCAGTAGACATGTAAATATTCCTGGCGAGCCCCTCCAGAAGAGTGAAATGATAAAAAAAGGGATGGTAATATCATTCAGGAGTTTTTCTTTTTTCTTTATCTTTTGTTTTGTTTTTGTTTTATTTTTGTTACCAGGGATTGAACTCAGGGTGCTTAACCCCTAAGCTACATCTCCAGCCCTTTTTTTTTTTTAATATTTATTTTTTAGTTATCGGCAAACACAACATCTTTGTTTGTATGTGGTGCTGAGGATCGAACCCGGGCAGCTCGCATGCCAGGCGAACGCGCTACCGCTTGAGCCACATCCCCAGCCCTCTCCAGCCCTTTTTTAAATTTTTTTATTTTGAGACAGGGTCTTGCTAAGTTGCTTAGGGCCTCCATAAGTTGCTGAGGCTGTCCTTGAATTTGTGATCCTCCTGCCTCAGCTTCCTGAACTGCTGGAATTACAGATGTGTGCTACCATGTCCAGTGAGATTTTTCTTTTGAGTACCCTTGATCAGATTTATTTAAAAATATAAAGCCCTGAACTAATTTTTAGACATGGTTAAAACATATCCTTATAGAGTTGAGAAAAAAAGCACAGAAACTAATAAAAATCTGTGTTTTTAGGTCAGCAGCACAGTGGCCATGGAGAAAGAAAAATTCCACAGCATATTTTCGAGGATCAAGGTGATTATATTTTCTAATCTCTTATAAAAATTGCTCCTAGCAGTGTGTGATATATAAGTAATCTTGAGGGCATGATCCCAAGGGAAAGGGGAAAGCTAAAATAACTAAGAAATAAATGTAGAAGCCTAGAATCTTAGATTGAGAATTATTTGCCCAAATCACTCTTCATTTAACTGAAATTCAAAGAAGTAAAGTTCCTCCAGTAGTCATTCAACAGATATTTTTAGAGTGCTAAGGCTGTGTTGGACACTGATTATATGATGTTGAAAAGAAGATGAATGTCTTCTTGTTTGCAGTTTCCTGGGAGTAGCCACTATCACTCTGCTGGTTAATGAAGAGCAGGAGTCAAGTCTCCCTACTACCTTTTCATCAGACCATGTGGCTGCCAAACAGTGTTTAATAACATAGACTGAAGCTAGTGAAAATGGAGAAGGAAGTAGAGAGAAGAGAGAAATGGAAAAGGGAGCTTTGTTCAGCTCCATATCTCCAGTGCCAAGAACAGTAACTGGCACGTAGATACACAGTAAATATCTGAGATGCAGATGATAGGGAAGACCATGAAGGGAGAAAGGTTTTGTAGCGTATGTGGTGTGTATCAGAGATCGTACTCTAGCCACTCTCCTCCTTGCTTTGGAAGTGGACTTCAGTACGCAGATGGGCCCACTATCCCTGCTTACTGTCTCTTACCAATTTCTCTGGTTCTCAGCTCTTGAGAACACAGAATCTTCACTTGGAGACTGTATCTGGGCTCCAAGAATTTTAGGACTTCCTTAAAATTATATAGAGATATGTGATTTTTCAGATTCTCAGGGAATCCATGACCCCTCATATGTCAAGCCCCTCTGCTACCTGTACCATAACTAACACTTTTTCTACATACAGTCTACATACAAAAAACTACATAAGCCCTGGACTTTATAGAGCCTACAGAACAAAAGTCATGTAGCTATTTTGGTGAGTGGTGATTACCTAGTTACATAGTTCTGAATACTAGTAATTATAGAGGCTATGAGAAACTTCCTGAAAGGGAAGTCATTCCCTGGGAAGTAGCTATAGTGACCAGAACAGCATGTCCTTAGAGACCAAATGTAAGCAAAAAAGGGCCAAATACTTCCTATCCCTAAAGGATAAAGTGGGGACAGCCTGGACCACATAGGTGCTGCAGTACCTAGAATGCCCTTCCCCACTGTCACAGAAACCAGTGAATTATACATCTGTGCAGACACCCTTTACATGGGTTCTAATATTGCTTACCTTTGAGATATTGGGGACAGTATTATGGTCCATGGCACATAGTTTTATGTCTTGTGTTTCTTTTATAGGACAAATCCAGAACGGGATCCTCTCATCCTTCTATCTCGGAAAAATCCAAAACTTGTTGATGCAGAGTATACCAAAAACCAGGCCTGGAAATCTATGAAAGTAATCAGCAATCATCTGAATAAAACTATAGCAGTGAATGTGCTCACCTAAAGAACATTGTCGACTGGGTAGAATTTGAGATTAGGTTTCCTCTCAGTGGTGAGATGAATGTAGAGAAACTTTCATGAACCAATATTAGCATATCTATAAATTCTTCTTTTTCAAACCCACCTTGCTTTTCTGGCCAAATTATTCCTAGCATAATTATATTACACTACTTTAAAGGTTTAAACCAGAGTTTGGAAGTTTCTTATGAAAAAGGCCAGATAGCAAATATTTTGAGTTTCATAGATCATATGGTTTCTGTTCTTATTATTCACCTCTGTGGCAGGATACTCTACCACTGAGCTACAATCCCAACCTTTTTTATTTTTTATAATGAGATAAAGTCTTGCTAAATTGCTGAGACTGAACTCAAAATTATGATCCTTCTGCCTCGGCCTGCCAAATTGCTGGGATTATAGATGTGTAACACTACAGCTGACACATAAAATATTTTTCTTTTGTTTTTCTTCCAACCACTTGAAAATGTAAAAATGTTTAGTTCCTGGGTTCTACAAAGCCAAGTAGTGGGTTGGATTTGGGCTGTCAGCTGAGGTTTCCCAACCCTTGGTTTAAACCAGTGATTAGCTACTGTGACTATAGTATAACCAGAGGGCCTAAACAATGAGTCAAATGAATCAAAATCTTTGGGAGTCTAGGGATCTTCATTTCTTTAAAATTTCCCAAATAATTCTAAGGCAAAGCCAGACATTGGGACTTTATTAGTTTAGAATCCATCTGTGTCCTTTTAACTATGACTTCTTGCCTTAATTAAAGATCTGAAAATCCTATTATTTTCTCACTTGAAATTTCCATATACTATATGAAGATGCTCTGAGAAAAAGATTGAATGGGCCAGGTGTCATGGCATACACCTGTAATCCCAGTGACTCAGAGGCTAAGGCAGGAAGATTGCAAGTTTGAAGTCAGCCTCAGTAACTTTTTGAACCCCTGTCTCAAAATAAAAAATAAAAAGGCTGGAGATGTGGCTCAGAGGTTAATTGCCCCCTGGTTAAATCCCTAATACCAAAAATAAATAAATAAAATTGAAACTTCTTAAGGAAAAATCAAATGTATTCAAGATGTTATATATTATTTGACACAGTTTCTTTTTTTTTCTCTCTTTCAGTACTGGGAATTGAACCCAGGGGTGTTGTACCACTGAACTACATCCCCAGTCCACCCCATGCCCCCCCCCCTTTTTTTCTTGGTATTGAGTCTTGCTAAATTACCCAGACTGGCCTCCAGTTTGCAATCCTCTTGCTTCTATCTCCTTAACAGCTGGGATTACAGGAATTAGTTACCACCTCTGGCAATCTGATATAGTTTCAATTAATAGGAACTAATGAATTTAAGAAATCTGGTCAAATAATAAAAATATGAAAGAATGTATTCTGCACACAGTTTGTTAGCATCTACTGTGGGGGGCAGGAAAAGCACACAGACTTATTGCCCTCGTACATTTTACTATCTTCTAAGGAGGGTGGAATGTACATAGGGGTCCTAAATCAAATTCCCTGAAAGGCCAGCAGGTGATGTAAAGGAGTCAGAGAGAGCACTAACAGCTCCATTTGATTGCTGCCAAGTGGGAGTGGGAGTCCAGTTTGCCAGATACTCCTTTTTATTTATTTTTTCCTAAGAGAAGTTGGAGATCTGGATTTTTCGTGAAGTATCCTGCCACTATAAATGGTGTCAATTTTTTTTAAATTATTTTTGTGGTATTTGGGATGATTCTAGGGGCACTCTACCACTGAGCTAATTCCCCAAGCCTTTTTAAAATTTTATTTTGAGACAAATGATCACAAAGTTGCCCAGGCTGACCTCAAACTTGGGATGTTTCTGCCTCTGCCTCCTGAATAGCTAAGATTATAGGCATGCACTGCCGTGTCCAGTCAGTTTGAATATTTATTTAAAAATATATTCCATGCCCCCAAATTATCTTCTGTGTGTGTAATTTACACAGAGTGAAATGTGCTATAGGCCATGATTAAAACCTTAGCATTTCTACTTAGGGCCAGTGATCCTGAGCAAGTCTCCCAACTCCTTTAAACCTTAGCTTCCTCATCTGTTTAATGAGATAATAATACCTCCTGAGTATGTTTATTATGAGGCTTAAGTGAGATTATGTTGAAGAAATGTTTTACAATGCTTGCTCCACATTGGTTGCCCATAAGTGCTATTCCTACTAATACTAATAACTTCCCTTTCACATAAAGGATACCTTGGGAAAGCCAGCTGCTAAGGATGTCCATCTTGTGGATCACTGCAAATACAAGTAAGACTTCTAAAACTCCTGACTCTTGGTTTCCATTTTTCTTTTGAAACAGCTTTACTTTGGGTAAGAATTGTAATACTAATATCTAGCATTGATTCATTTAGCTGCCTTTTACTGAGGGCCTATGTGCACTGACCTGAGTTCTACGCAGGGACTGTAGAGAGGAATGAAACATGTTTCCTGCTTCCAGAGAACTTGCTGTTAGTTAAAGTGATGGGTTTACCTCTCCATATCCCTCTGACCCAATAGTTGACATTAGATTGAATATTTATCAGGGTAATAAATATATTGAGGGGTTGGCGATGAAGCTCAGTGATAGAGTATGTACTTACCATGTGTGAGGCCCTGGGTTCCCAGCACTGCAATCAACAAACTAATCAATCACTAATATAATGAAATTCTAGGACTAGATATTAGTTGAACAAGTAAAGGCTCAGAGGAGGATAACTGGGGGACTCAAAGGTAAAAATGCTGGTTATATGCTCAAGGATAACTATAGTGTAAGAGCAACTCTGGTTGGAGACAGGAGTGCAGGTGTGAGAAGTGCTGAGAAGAAAGTGTTATAGTCTGTGACAGCAGTTTTCCAAGGAGTGTTTCTTTGAAGATGGATTAGGTTAGACTTGTTCTTCTCCCTAAACTTCAGGGTACTATCCAGGAAACAGGGAGTGCCTTTGACCAGAGGGGGTATACTGAAGGAAAAATAGGGCTTTGGGGGTCATGACTATAGAGATATTATACCCATACAGAGAAGCGTGTGATATTTTTTTTCACTCTTGATTTTTGATTTTTATCATTGAACATTTCTGTATTTTCTCAGATATGTCCAAAATCAACATTCAAAGATATTCAAAATCCCTTCTGAACCTATATTCAGCCGAGCTTCTGAACCTATCTAGCTCTGTCTGGAGAAGGTATTCCCCCTTTTCCCGTACCCTGATATTCTCAGAGCAACCTGTAGTCCCAAGCCTGGAAAAGCAGGCTGTTTGTGGAAACCTTATAGGGACATACTAATAATGTGTTCTTGAAAACTGAAAAGGGAAAGGAGAGAATCATAAAAGGAGAAAAGGGAAGGAGGGAACAAGAAAAAGGTCATATTTGTGGCAGAATATAAAGAGTATCAAATATATTTTGCATTTTTTCCCCCGTAGGTATCTGTTTAATTTTCGAGGCGTAGCTGCAAGTTTCCGGTTCAAACACCTCTTCCTCTGTGGTTCACTTGTTTTCCATGTTGGTGATGAGTGGCTAGAATTCTTCTATCCACAGCTGAAGCCGTGGGTTCACTATATCCCAGTCAAAACAGACCTCTCCAATGTCCAGTAAGCAGCTATCCTATCATTTGCTTCTAAGTTGCCAAGGCTGGCCTCAAACTTGTGATCCTCCTCTCTCAGACTCCCAAGTCACTGGGATTACAAGGCATTTACTCTTCTGTTTTTATCTCTTGGTGCTGGGAATTGAACCCAGGGGTACTTCACCACTGAGTTACATCCCTAGCCCCTTTTTAAAATTTATTTATTTTGAGACAGGGTGTCGCTAAGTTGCTGGGGCTATCTCAAACGATTGCAAGTGACCTCCTGTCTTAACCTTCTGAGTCACTGGGATTACAGGTGTGCATCACTATGCTTGGCATAAGGAATTTACCCTTGATGAATTTTTTCAGTAAAAGCTTTTTCCCACCTCTTATTTGGTTTGCATATATTGTATAGTGGTTATAGTGTCTAAGAATGCTGTAAGTGGGATTTAAATTTGAAAAGTGCTTTAATCCTGGTTCCAGTGTATAACATGTAGACAGTACAAAATAAAAAAAAGCTCTAATCTCTCAAAAGCTAAAGATAGGGATATTTGATCTTGTTATATTATCAACATTGTTTCAGATATAGCATGAGAATTGACCCCGGTGAAGCTTAGGCAAATTTTCTCTTGATGGGATGAGATTGGAGAAGGGCCAGAAATGTGGACCCACTTCTATCTCCTAGGGACTAGAAGAAGAATTTGGAGACAGGTTGGAAGTTTTCACTTTTGATTTCTTATTTATATCTGTGAACATTTCTGTTTTTTCTCAATTATGTCCCAAATCTATAATAGGCTGCCTTTTATATGTATGTGGGCTTGCTTTAAAGAAATATTCCACAGGCTCGGGATGTAGCTCAAGCGGTATCGCGCTCACCTGGCATGCATGCGGCCCAGGTTCGATCCTCAGCACCACATACAAACAAAGATGTTGTGTCCGCCAAAAAAAAAAGAAAGAAATATTCCACTATCCACATATCTAGAGATCAAGCTATGATTTTTCTGACTTGGTACTAAGTTTGGTGTACATTTTGAGTTCAAATAATTATTTTTCTTTTAGGGAGCTGTTGCAATTTGTAAAAGCAAATGATGATATAGCTCAAGAAATTGCTGAAAGGTAAATTCTTTTCATTTTCCCTTTTCTTACTTTATCATCCCCATTTTTCCATAGCTAATGTTATCTGAATATTATCACCATATGATATCTGTATATCAGCCTTATCGTACAGAGATAATTCAGAGTTAAAACTCTCCAGAGGAGGGGGAAAACATATCCATACACTAATATGCCCCAAACTTTATAGAAATAGATTGGAATCTTTAAGGTATTTCAATAAATACTTTTTATGATCCGTGACTTTTTTCTTTTTCTTTCCTTTTTTTCCCCCAGGCCTGGGAATTGAACCCTGGGACAATTTATCACCAAGCTACATTCCCAGCTCTTTTTTTCTTTTTTGAGGCAGGGTCTCACCAAGCTGCCAAGGCTGGCCTCAAACTTTTAGAGCCTGCCTTGGCCTCCTGAGTTGCTGGAATTATAGGCATGAACCATTTTGCCTAGCTGTGATCACCAGCTATTAATGTGTTTGTTTTTAGGGGGGAAAATGTTATGTTGTATTGATAAATGCAAATATATATAGATATGATGGCTATAGGATTGATTCTGAGGATCAAATTAATTAAATTCATGTAAAGTACTCTGAACAAGTTTTGGCATAAGATAGCTTATTAACATGTAGGCTATTATTAAGTTAAGTTCTGTGTTTCAAAATATTCTTGTTAATCTTTCCTCTAGGGGAAGCCAGTTTATTATAGACCACTTGCAGATGGAAGACATCACCTGTTACTGGGAAAACCTCTTAACGGAATACTCTAAATTCCTGTCCTATAATGTAACAAGAAGGAAAGGCTATGACCAGATTGTTCCCAAAATTTTGAAAACTGAACTGTAGTACTCATCATAGGACAAGAATCCTCCCTATGGCAGCAGATCTGCTATCCTGTGGTAAGAAGCTTACTATGAGTGTGGCACCTATACCTTGAACACCTTTTATCAAGCCAAACATCTGATTTTCTTTATCATGCTGCACCCAGAGCTACTCTTAAGAAAGATCTAAAATATGTGTAATACAGAGATGTGAAGAGTTCAACTCTGTCTGAATAAGGACCCGGAATCATGAAATGTGGATTTTGAATTGATTCTACTTTCATTTTCTTATGATCAATCACAGAGTGTGCCTCAGATCATCTACATGTATATGTTCATCACTGTGAAAATGACTGTGTCCAGGAGAGATGCACTTTGTTCCATTTTTTTGGAACATAAAATTGAGCATTTGGAACTAGTACAACTCATTTCTGCAGTTCTGATATTATTCTAGACTTGATAACTGCTGCTTTATTTTAATGTAGAAACCCTATGGGATTTGTGAAAAATACCTGGGGTTCATTTTCTGAAAGTTCAAGGAAGCAGCAGCTGTGCTGTGCAATGATATAGGAGTTCTGTTTTGTAAAAGCATAAACTGTTTGGTACTCAGGAGGTTTCTATAATGCCACTCAAGAGGGGCTAATAACATGAGTAATTATTGCAATTGGATTTTAAGTTCCCATCTTGTGCCTTTATGCCTTTTTAACTGTCTCTTTAAAGAGCAACAAGAACAAAAAAAGACAAAAAATTCCTAATAAAGTTAGGAAGTAGTCCTCACACTTTAAGGAACTGTGCTTGGTTGAATAACTTTTATCTTACCGTTTGCACACTTTAGCATTTTTCCTTCTTAAATTGACAGCAGCAGGGTTATTGATCAACAATGTGCAGAGACCACAAGGAGTTTCCATATGGGAATACATCATTATGTTGGTAATTCAGAGCATTCACCTTTTACATTTACTTATATAGGAGATATTTGTTTTGCAAATCATTGTTGGAGTCCTTTCTCATTTTTTTCCTTTTTTGAAAAAGACATTTGGGCCAGGTACAATGCCTGTAATCCCAGCAAATCAGTAGGCTAAAGCAGGAGGGTCATAAATGCAAGCTAGCATCAGCAACTCTGTGATACTCTGTCTCAAAAACTAAAAGGCTAGGGATATAGCTTAGTGGTAGAGTGGCCTGGTTTCAATCTGCAGTACTGCACAAAAATAGATAAATATATAAATAAAATAGGAAGAAAATTTTCTTTTGTTTTTATTTATTTATTTATTTATTGTGGTACTGGGGATTGAACCCAGGCACAGTCTATCTCTGAGCTATATCCCCAGCCCTTTTTATTTTATTTTTGAAACAGGGTTGCTAAGTTGCTGATTCTGGCCTTGAACTTATGATACGCCTGCCTCAGCTTCCCATTTTGTTGGAATTACAGTTGTGTGCCACCACACCTGGCCTTGTTGTCTTTTAGAATAGGAACTAAAGCTTCATTTCTCTGGGAACACTTCCATTTTGTTTCAAGTTGCAGCTCAAACACCTTCTCTTTGAATCCTTTCTTTCATTCTTCTAGGCAAGGGTTATTACCATAATATTTTTTTTTAATTTATTATTATTTTTTTATTGGTTGTTCAAAACATTACAAAGCTCTTGACATATCATATTTCATACATTTTACCATAATATTTTGCTTATGCCTGCATTATATGACATCACATCATACCATAATTACTTGACTATTTCTCCTTTTGGGTGGAAATCATGTTTTACTCATCCTGATGTCTCTATTGTCCAGCACAGTGCCTCACACAGAGTAAATACTGAAGTGTTTGAAGGATGGATGGATGGGTGGATATGAAGACATTTGGCTTTACTAGATTCTATTTATAGATTGCCCAGCCATTGACTCCAAGGGGGATTGAATAAATTTTTTAAAAATTATATCAATACCAATCCTCACTTGCCCTCCAAAGAGTCAACTAGGGCATCTTTGTCTTTACATACAGCAAATTACTCATATTTTATACTTGTTCATCTGTTTACCTCAGTGTTGATTGTATAAGGATGATGTATAACAATGGATAAAGTGTATGTTTTGAAAATATTTGTATCCCCACAACTTTTGAAGTTTGTTGTCATTAATACAAGCTCAGACCCAAACTTACCCTTTCCTCTTCAAAAATTCATTTTCTCTATTTGTGGAAAAGGCTTTTGTTGTGTATAATATAACTAAATGTAATATATGTAGCAAGGATTATATATGTATATATTTATATATATGGCAAGGATGTGTGTGTGTGTGTTTGTGTGTGTGTATGTGTGCACTTATTTATTTTTTCAGGAGCAGTACTGGGATTGAAACCAGGGGCACTTTACCATTGAGTTTCTTTTCCAGTCTTTTTGTTTTGAGACAGAGTCTTGCTAAATTTCTGGGGCTGGCCTCAGATTTGTGATCCTTTTGCCTCAGCATCCCAAATTCCTGGGATTACTGTGTCTGGCAAGGACTATACTTGGTGAACCTTGCTGAGAAAGGGAACATATTGACCCCTGGGAAAAAAATTCACTGAAGTTACTGAGTTCTATGAGCAGATCTCAGAAACAAGGGCTGAGAATTAGGACAGTGGTTCCAGACACACAATGGTGACTACTAAAATCCTTCCCTGATAAGTTTTTCTGCTGGCAGATATATATTCTGATGAGAGAGTTATGTGTTACAATGTGGTCCAATTAAACCCCTAACATCTATTGGCTTGGACAGAGTTGCTCTGAGACCTTTCAAAAAGATAAGCTCAGAGGAGGGAGAGTATTTCCCTAGTACTAAAAAGAAGGTAAGCCCTAAGAGCTTGGGGAAATAGGAAATGCTGGAGTGAGACAGTCTGAGAGCTAAGGTGGAACAGCATCAGCGTGAGCAGTAGCCAATAGACGGGGGACTTTTGCAAGCTACTGGGTGGCAAAGAGAGACTTACAAGGGTCTCTAGTTACCCACACAAGGAAGCACCTATGGAATTGTGAAATTTGCCTGTTAATAGGACCTCATTTGTAGTTATAGGCTAGAGACCCCTGTGGATATTTGAGTTATATGTAAATGATTTCAGCATTTGCCCAACCTCCACCTTATCCCCATTCCCCATCTTCATTCCAGGATGATCCTGGGTTTATTTTAAGCATTTAGTTTTTTTGTTTGTTTGTTTTTTACATGTAGGCAGACAGGCTGCTCAGCCATTTTCTTGGGACTTTCAGACCTCAGGACCTTATGCTGGTACCCACCTCTACCTCTACTTAACAAAGGATAAACAGCAACCTGGTGCCAGGAGTCAGGGGATCTAATTCTTCTTTCAACAAATATTTACTGAACACCTGCTTCATGTCAGATACTGGTAGGTCCTGGAGATAGAGATGAGTATCTGTGGTCTCTGAGCTCCAAAGTAGTTTACTGAGAGAGATCAGCAAATAGAAAATAATGGCATAATGGAGTAAGTGCTATGATGAGCAATGAATCTACTTTTTTTCTTAAAACACCAGAGAAATCTTCGTAACACTGTTATAGAGCTGGGGCCTTCTGGGAAACAGGCAGCACAAAGATCCCCCCTACTTCAAACCCCAGTTCCTACAATCAAGTCAGAAAGATTTCAGGGTAACAGGCATCAGTTTATTGAAGAGATAGCAAAAGGGAAAGCAGCACTCAGTCGAGAGAGAGAGTGGGTCCTCTCAGAGAGGATAAGGGACAGTGTGCCTCTTCTGCACTCCAATTTTGTTGGGGATCCCAGAGAAGTTTCCAGGCAGTCCCACCCACTTGATTTTTGACTGACAGCAAAATGACATCACTTTCAAGTTCCCACTGCCATGACAACTCTAGGTCACTTTGGCCCATGATTGATTCTAATTCGATTCTTAATTATAAATTCTTACAGATTTTATGATTAGGAGGAATTGTCCTTATCTCCCTGAATTTCAAGATCTGGTCTGTGAAAAAGCACACAAGTCTCCCCCTTCAAGTAGCTTGGGTTCCTCTCATCAACATTATTTGGGGTCTGCATTTCTCCTGCGGTTAACAGGTAGTTTGCTGAGGAATGCAACGTGCCTGGCCACTTAAGTCAGGTAAAAAGAAAGCATGGGAGGATGCGAGGGAGTCAACAGAGTGGGCCTATTTCAAAGAATTATTCCCATAATTTCATGTTCCATTTGCACCTGTCTGTCCCCTAATAGCACTGTCAGTAATTCAGCTAGTCACTCTAGCCAGACACTTGTCTGGGTCTTATATATAGAATTCCAGCTAACAAATCCTAGAATTCTACTTACCATAGTCATACTAAAAAGTATAGTAATTTTATTTATTTAGCAGTATAGGACTTGAACCCAGGGGCACTTTATCATCAAGTCATATCCTCAGCCCTTTTTATTTTGATCAGTTGCCAGGCTTGCCTCACATTTGTGTCCTCCTGCCTCAGCCTCCAAGTAGCTGGGATTACAGGCACACAACAAAATGAATACATTTTAATAACAACTATACCTCAAAAGAACAAGTTCCCAGAGGCTATAGTGACAGGAAATCAGATTCTCAAAACACTTGCTAAAAGTTCCAGAAATTCTCCTGCCCTCTGAGAAACTTATGAACTAAGGGGAATGAAATCCACGTTGCGAAGAAATGCCCAAAGCTGACTCAAGAAAGAAAGAAAAAAAAAAGCAATCTCAAAATCTTGGACCCTGGTAGTAGTAGTACACACCCACCTGTAACTCAGGTCCTTGAGGCAGAATTGCAAGTTTGAGGCCAGCCTCAGCAATTTAGTGAGGCACTAAGCAATTTAGTGAGACCCTGTCTCAAATTTTCAAAAAAGGTTTGGGGATGTTAGTTCAGTTTACCAAACAAACAAATGTTGGACCCACCCCCCAGCTCCTGGATCCAGACTGGGTAGAAATGGATCACACTAAGTCCATGTGGCTTCTTGACTTCATGCGGGGGTGGTGTGTGTGTATATGACTTGTTTTTAAACAAATCTCTCCTTTCCACTTGCACTCAAAATTGCACTTGATTCTTTTACATGGAATTTTTGGCATTTTTTACTTTTTTTTTTTTAAACTGGAGATTGAACCCAGGGGTCCAAAACCACTGAGCTACATTCTTATGTTTTTTAATATCTTAGTTGTAGATGGATACAACACCTTTATTTTGTTTATATTTACTTTTACGTGGTGCTGGGGATCGAACCCGGGGCCTCACACATGCTAGCCGAGCGCTCTATCAACCCAGCCCCCTTTTATGTTTTGAGACAGGGTGTCACTTAGGACCTCAGATGCAGAGGCTGGCCTTAAAGTTGTGTTTCTCCAGCCTTATCCTCCCGAGCCGTTGGGATTCTAGGCCTGCGACACCGTGCCCGGGTCTGGCATTTTAAATACGATAACCTACTTCAGTACGCCTTCAAATACGCAGAATCTGCCCCCAAACCCATGTAGGTGAGCCTAGGCGGCCCGGAAAGAGGACGCAGCCACTGACTGCCAACTCACTTCCGGGGCGGTCCAGCACCACGGCCGCCCATCCTGCCCCGACAGGAAGTATTTTCTGCGCAGTCTCTGCAGTAGCCCCGTCTTTTGCCTCTGTCCTGACGGAGGCGGGACTTCCTGTTTCGTGTTCCCTGGAGCCTCCAAAGGAATACTGGGGCTGAGAGGGAAAATGTCTAAGTCCTGTGGCAGGGGATCAAGCAGTGCATTAGTTCCGGCCTGTTACCGTAGTTCTCACTGATTCGTGCAGTTATCCACACTCTCTCCAAAGGCGCTTTCAGCCGGCCTTGGTGTTCTGAGTGCGCAAGAGTGTGTGACCGCAGGTCGAGAGAGGGCATGGAGGAGCCGCCACCGGCTCCCCCGAGCTTCTTTTGCAGGGCACGGCGTCCTTCCCCCCGAGTCTTTGCTGCCGGAGCTGTGGCTGCCGACTCGGAATCTCTGGTGGAGAATCAGAAGTTGCCTTCCTTAGTCCAAGAACCCTATTACCCGGAATCCGGTTGGGATCGCCTCCGGGAGCTGTTTGTCAGAGAGTAAAAAATGCCCAGGGTCTGTGGGGAGGGGCCACGAAAAAGTTAGCCTGGGGCCAAGAACCCAGGGGTGGTGGTTTATTTTTAAGTGAGATTAGAGGTTCTAATATTTGTGGAAGAAGGTTGTATCCTGATTTTGCCATTTGATAGTTGATTGATAGGTTTTTAATGTTAAGGCTCACTCACTGAAAGAGCTCCTAGGATGGATACTTAGGTACATAGGGATGTAGTCCTATTGAAATCAGTGCCCTAATTTTACAGGTAAGAAAAGTTGGGCCAAGCTAGAAACCACTGACATCCATGTCTGCAGAAATCTACTCCAATATTCTTTTTTTGTATTTCATTTGATCCCAGACTTGTTGGTATTTAATGGCCAATAATGTTCCTTCACCGCCCCTCAAGTGGAGATTGAAGAGGGCCAGAGAAGGTTGTCAGTTTTTTATTTTGCCCAAGGAAAAATTAAACAGTATCAACTATTGGGTTGTTGTTTTTGTTCTGTGCTTGGAATGAGCTCAGAGCCTTATTCTTGCTAGGCAAGCATGTAACACTGAGCTACACCAATGTAGTGTTTAGCTATACCCTTCTGCCATTTCTCATCATAACTAGATTTTAAAATAGAAGATAACCCTTTAGATTGAATTTATTTATAATAATTCAAAACACTTAATTCATTGACTTATTAATCACTTGTGAAAACATTACTCTATCATGAAGTAATTTACTATACTACGCTGTTATCAAGGGGTTAAATTAAAATTGAAACTTTATAATATTGCCGAGATAGTTGTAGCAAGGGAACTGACAGACTTGTGTTTAATTATTTTATTTAGGCTTCATCTCGGGGCCTTGCTGAGTTGCTGAGGCTGTCTCTCAACTTGTGATCCTCCTGCCTCAGCCCCCAGAGTTGCTGGGATTACAGGCATGCACCACAGGGCTTGGTAGCATTTTGGATAGTTCTTCATAGTGTTTTGGATAATGTCTCAACATGTTATCTTTTTGATGTTTTAGTGAACAACAGAGAATTTCAAAGGAACTTGAGAATATCTATAGGGCAGCAGCTTCAGCAGGCATCATTGGCTGGGCATATGGTGGAATACCAGCTTTTATTCATGCTAAACAACGCTACATTGAGCAGAGCCAAGCAGAAATTTATCATAACCGGTTTGATGCTGTGGTAAGTACTGGTGATTTAAATAGTATTTAGGGGCATACAAACTTAACTATTTACACTTAGTCATTCTGTTAGGTTGTAGTTTAGGAGG